TAACAGTACACATCGGGTACTTTGCCAAACGAAGCCACACGCCTCTTCACACACGATCTGTTTCATGACGTCATGTGTTTATGCTCATATCCTGCTGGTTTGTCTGATTAAAATACATTTTCATATATTTTCTTAATAATTTATAAAGTATTAAAACCTCTCAGTGTTGTTTCCGTTGGTTAAATGTGTTTTTTAAAGAATAATAAAAGAATAAATCGCTGTGTCACTGCGTTGTTTTCTCCGCTTTACTTTCGTTTCCGTCTCAAAGTGAAACTGAAGTGAAAGTCGTCTTTCGGGGACTTGTCCGAGTTTAGGTCGATGAAAGTCGTTGATGATCATCAAGTTAAATCTGAACAGACATGGAGAAAGGTGAGAGTCTCAACTTGTCTTCTAACTTCTCTGTTTGTGTTTGTGTTGTTCCCGTTGTGACTCGTTTTCCTTCAGGTGGACACGAAGAGATCTTAACCCCCCCTTTACCTTTATGCACGTAGTAACGTAACTAAGTACTTTTATTCATGAACCTGAGCAGTCTTTTGAGGCTTTGGCACTTTCAATTTAAACAACTTTGTGGTCATTTTTATACCAGATTAGTGTCGCTTCTGCTGCAGGTTGCAGATTTAGCTTTCTGTGCTAAGACTACTAAAGCTGATTAATGTTAGACAGAGCTCAGACTGACATCCAGCTTCACCAGCTGCAACCTTAAAGAAGACATATCATCCCCTCTCCACCTTTTCAAACAGTCCTCCTCCACCTTTTCAAACAGTCCTCTCCACCTTTTCAAACAGTCCCTCCTCCACCTTTTCAACAGTCCTCCTCCACCTTTTCAAACAGTCCCTCCTCCACCTTTTCAAACAGTCCCTCCTCCACCTTTTCAAACAGTCCTCCTCCTCCACCTTTTCAAACAGTCCTCCTCCACCTTTTCAAACAGTCCTCCTCCACCTTTTCAAACAGTCCCCTCCTCCACCTTTTCAAACAATCTCCTCCCCTTTTCAAACAGTCCCCTCCACCTTTTCAAACAGTCCTCTCTCCACCTTTTCAAACAGTCCTCCTCCACCTTTTCAAACAGTCCTCCTCCTCCACCTTTTCAAACAGTCCCTCCTCCACCTTTTCAATCAGTCCTCTCCTCCACTTTTCAAACAGTCCTCCTCCACCTTTTCAAACAGTCCCCTCCTCCACCTTTTCAATCAGTCCTCTCCTCCACCTTTTCAAACAGTCCCCTCCTCCACCTTTTCAAACAGTCCTCCTCCACCTTTTCAAACAGTCCCCTCCTCCACCTTTTCAAACAGTCCCCTCCTCCATCTTTTCAAACAGTCCCCTCCTCCACCTTTTCAAACAGTCCTCCTCCACCTTTTCAAACAGTCCCCTCCTCCATCTTTTCAAACAGTCCCCCTGTGGTCTAAATGAAACATCTGTGCTGTGCTTTGGTCAGAATATAACATGAATCCAGCACCAGAGGAGGTTTGTGACCCTGTATAAACCAGCTCTCTCAGAACGCTCCGTTTTGGTGTGTGTGTCTCTTTAAATGTAATGACCCCGCCCCCTGAGTTTTCCCCGTAGACATCACTCCTCTGTAGAGAGAATAAAAATGGCCGACCTGTGCAAAAGTTTAGCTCTAGGCTGGGGGTGGAGTCTATGGGTGGAGATACCAGGGGAGGGGAGGGGATTTTTTTTTTTTACCAGAATCCCACTGTGACATCACAAGGAGAGCACATTTGAAACAGAGCATTTTTCTCTGTGTTGTAAGACTTATGCAGACCACAAACAAAGGACTGGATGGTTTATTTCACATGTTGTGGGTCAGTAGACTCTCAGGTTACACACATATATGTTCAGAAACACTGACCAGAGAAGGTAGGTGGTTTTTAAGCCCCCCCCCCCACACACGGCCGTTTTGGACGCCCCTCGGTTTGCCAGATAAGAGAGCAGTTATCAGCTCAAACCAACAGGAGAATTTAGACTGCAGTGCCCATTTTAAACACTAGGTGTCAGAGTTTTGCTCCTCTGAAGTGAACTCTGTTTTGTTTGTGTCAGACATGCGTTCAAGTAAACACCGCAACAACAGCGACCAGATGAAAGACCTTTTAACGCTTGACAAGAAGGAGGAACACGAGCGGGGAAAAGAGAACAAAGAAGCCTCAGATGACGCCAACAGCTACATCGCCTCCTTTTCCTCCTCCCCCCTTCCTCCTCTGGACCGTCTGCTACCGGGGACTCGGAGAGAGAGAAATGTGCAGCTGCAGAGGGACGAGAGCCGTTGGAGAGGGAGAGGGAGGAATGCTGTTCTCTGGGGGACATGAAGACCCTCCCTAAGTGTCAGAACAAGCTGGGGCCCCTGAGCTTCAGCAGGACGCACACCATCCTCATCGATGTAAGTTCCACTACTCACATCATGTATTTGTTACTTAAAGTTTGAGGTACTGGAAGAGATTAATTGCAATAAAAAATGCAACAGTTTGACATCCCTAGTTTTAAAGTATACTATGATATGGTCTGGGTGAATACTCGATTCTGATTGGCTGAAGAGTGTCACATGGATGTCCATTAACTTTTGATATATGGAATCCTATGGAGGTCGTACCTTTAGGAGGGTTTATTTGGCTCCTCCAGGACATTTCAAAAGATATCTTTTTTTTTTAATTGTCTGTTTTTACAGTTAAAAAGCTCATTCACTGTCCCCAAAAAAAGATGCGCTGCAGACGGTATCTAAGATGAGTAACCATAGCAACTTAACCCTAACACTAGCCCTTTCATCTACACGTCGGGTGGTTGCCTCTGGAGTCCATTAATTCCTGACTATGGTCACATATCGCAAAGTATTGCTCATTCAGGTACCCGAGTAAAGAATCTCTCCATCTTTAAATTCTGTATCTCACACACACACACACACACACACACACACACACACACACACACACACCCAGCACAAACTGTCGATCCTCCAGGAGGAGCTGTATATGCAGTGTTTTCTCCTAACATTATATTAGGGGGACAGCCCCCCCCCCCCCCCAACGCCCCTCCTTGAAGGTCAAGTTAATAAAATTTTTATAATTTTTTTGTTCGATTTATTTATTTTTGGGCTTTTTGTGCCTTTATTGTAGAGATGGGATAGTAGATAGAGTCTGAAATCAGGGACAGAAGTCATTTAAGGATACCTTTCAGCTGTCATTAACAATAACGCATCACCAAGATTCCTTCAAGTGTTTGTGTCAGCGTCCGTCTGCCCGCCCCCCCCCCCCATCTTTAAACCAGGGGAAACACTGATATTTGAACACAAACAGCCACATTTCTGGGGGTGACGTTTGTATACTGTGACTGCTGAACGGTTTATAGAGTGAACTGGGTTAGCGTTGATATTCTCGTTATAGCGTCATAATGATCTAGATATTCTCTGAAGTGCAGATGTGAAAAACGGCTTAAGAATTTAAATCTTTGTTTCCCTTCCCCTCAGGCAAACTCCTTCAACAACAGAGGAGGAGAATTGATAGCGCAGCACGGCAAAGACATGTGGTTCAGTAACTTTGTGAAAATGCCGTCTTCACCTTCGAGTTTCATGATTAACAGATGGTCTCAAACGGTATGTGTGATGATGTCTGCATGTTAAGAGAAGCGACAGAAAAGGCTGCACGCCGAGCTGCATGCCGAGCTGCACGCCGAGCTGCACGCGGGCCATTTAAACATAACGAGCTGTTTCTCCACGTGTGTCCTCTCAGGTGAACAGGTGGCCTGAGATCTCCAAGCACCTGAAGTCCATAAAGACAAGAGCGAGTGTTCGGGACGTTGAGGTTTGTATGTGGCTTTGGACAAAAAAAAAAAACATTCACATATTTTGATAAGATATGATCTCAATCGCTCTCAGAGGAACTTTAAATGATGACCTAAACTCTCTCTCCAGGACGCCATCATCAAATACAACCCGAAGTACAAAGGTCAGTGGTCGTTTGACGCCCTCGCCACCTTTGTGAAGGTCAGTGTCTTTGCGTTATTGCATCGACAGCTTCGTGTCAGGTTTTTTGATACACTCTATAAATATAAAATAATCCTGTTTTTTGTTTTCCAGCGTGTCCCAGATACGGAAAACTACTTCAGCACCCTGTTTCCAAAGATCGCTGCGTTGGCCCTGAAGCTGCCGAATTATGTGAAGAAGGTACGAAACTTAACTCCAAATGTTTTCTACTACTGGGGGTTATCTTCCTCTACTTTAAACCTTGGGTCCTATCTTTTTAAAAGTGACATATCATCCCCCTCCTCCACCTTTTCAAACAGTCCCCCTCCACCTTTTCAAACAGTCCCCTCCACCTTTTCAAACAGTCCTCCTCCACCTTTTCAAACAGTCCTCCTCCATCTTTTCAAACAGTCCCCCTCCACCTTTTCAAACAGTCCCCTCCACCTTTTCAAACAGTCCTCCTCCACCTTTTCAAACAGTCCCCTCCACCTTTTCAAACAGTCCCCTCCTCCACCTTTTCAAACAGTCCCCTCCTCCACCTTTTCAAACAGTCCCCCTCCACCTTTTCAAACAGTCCTCCTCCACCTTTTCAAACAGTCCCCCTCCACCTTTTCAAACAGTCCCCTCCTCCATCTTTTCAAACAGTCCCCCTCCACCTTTTCAAACAGTCCCCTCCTCCACCTTTTCAAACAGTCCTCCTCCATCTTTTCAAACAGTCCTCCTCCTCCACCTTTTCAAACATTCCTCCTCCACCTTTTCAAACAGTCCCCTCCTCCATCTTTTCAAACATTCCTCCTCCATCTTTTCAAACAGTCCCCTCCTCCACCTTTTCAAACAGTCCTCCTCCACCTTTTCAAACAGTCCTCCTCCATCTTTTCAAACAGTCCTCCTCCACCTTTTCAAACAGTCCTCCTCCATCTTTTCAAACAGTCCTCCTCCACCTTTTCAAACAGTCCCCTCCTCCACCTTTTCAAACAGTCCTCCTCCACCTTTTCAAACAGTCCCCTCCTCCACCTTTTCAAACAGTCCCCTGTGGTCTAAATGAAACATCTGTGCTTTGGTCAAAATATAACATGAATCAAGCACCAGAGGAGGTTTGTGACCCTGTAGAAACCAGCTCTCTCAGAACGCTCCGTTTTGGTGTGTGTGTCTCTTTAAATGTAATGACCCCCCCCCAAGTTTTCCCAGTAGACATCACTCCTCTGTAGAGAGAATAAAAATGGCCGACCTGTGCAAATGTTTTGTTCCAGGCTGGGGGTGGAGTCCATGGGTGGAGATACCAGGGGAGGGGAGGGGAGGGGATTTTTTTTTTTACCAGAATCCCACTGTGACATCACAAGGAGAGCACATTTGAAACAGAGCATTTTTCTCTGTGTTGTAAGACTTATGCAGACCACAAACAAAGGACTGGATGGTTTATTTCACATGTTGTGGGTCAGTAGACTCTCAGGTTACACACATATATGTTCAACAACACCAAGTGGATTTTTCATAATATGTCTCCTTTAATATCTTTGTGTCTGATTAGCCTTGTGTATCAGCTGCAGAGGAGCGGAGGTGAATTTAGACGCCGTTTCAACGGTTAAAATGAAGGTTTCTCTCTGAGTGGAGCTAGAAACAGCAACTGGAAGAAAAACAAAAACATCCTCAGAGATGATTGTTTCAAAGTCTGTTTTCATGTTTCCAGGCTATCCCGCTGCTGCAGGCGGGACATCCTGCGTCCATCACTCTGTCGCAGGTTCAGATATCCTGCCTGCTCGCCAACGCCTTTTTCTGCACGTTCCCTCATCGCAACGCGACCAATCCAAACGCAGAGTACCACAACTACCCCACCATTAACTTCACCAGGTGAGGAAACATGGCAACACCTTCACAAACCTTAAATCCTGCTTTCCCTCTGTGTCCCGTCCGTGTTTAAATGCTTCAGTCTCATTCTGCTCACAGTCTGTTCGGAGGCTGGTCCGAACGCAAGAAGGAAAAGCTGAGAGCCATCATGCATTACTTCAACGTGATGACGGATGAGAGTGAGTTTAACCTTCTCTTCCTTCCTGTTTGTGAGATACACGAGTGAAGATCTGTGACGCTTATCAATATTTTTTTTGCAGAGATCAAACCAAGAGGGCTGGTGACCTTTGAGCGCCGTGTCCTCGTAGACTCAGAGATACCCAACTGGTCAAGGTAAACATGAAGATCGTTTTTTAAATCTCAAGTTTCATCGCTCAGACTAAACCTGAAATGCTGTGTTGCAATCACCTTCTGCATTCTCATTTAGGCAAGGCAAGATTATTTATGCAATATCAAAAGCATCGTCACAGAGGAAAAAAAATAAGAAACATTAAAATAAAAAAGTTTAAAAATCACTGAAATAATTAAAACTGAAGATATGTTAACATTTTTTTAATTAGAATAAAATTAATTGAAATAAATAAAGTAAAAATATAAAAAGAGTTAAAAGTTACAGTGCAGAGTTAAAGTTTAAAATCTTATTAAATTTGTTTAATTAAAGGCTTCAACCTGGATTTAAAAGAACTGAGAGTTTCAGCAGACCTGCAGTTTTCTGGGAGTTTGTTCCAGATATAAGGAGCATAGAAACTGAACGCTGCTTCTCCGTGTTTGGTTCTGACTCTGGGGACAGAGAGCAGACCTGTCCCAGACGACCTGAGCGGTCTGGATGGTTCGTAATTAATCAGGAGGTCACTAATGTATTTTGGCCCTAAACCATTCAGCACTTTATAAACCAGTCTGGTCTGTCGTCGTGTTTTTATCGTAGCTGTAACTCGCTCTTACTCGTCTGTCGCCGTGTGTTTTTCGTAGCTGTAACTCGCTCTTATTGTATGTCGCCGTGTGTTTGTATCGTAGCTGTAACTCGCTCTTACTCGTCTGTCGTCGTGTTTTTATCTTAGCTGTAACTCGCCTGTCGTTGTGTTTTTATCTTAGCTGTAACTCGCTCTAACTCGTCTGTCTTCTTGTGTTTTTATCTTAGCTGTAACTCGCCTGTTGTGTTTTTATCTTAGCTGTAACTCGCTCTTACTCGTCTGTCGTCGTGTGTTTTTATCGTAGCTGTAACTCGCTGTAACTCGTCTGTCGTCGTGTTTTTATCTTAGCTGTAACTCGCTCTAACTCGTCTGTCGTCGTGTGTTTTTATCGTAGCTCTAACTCGCTCTAACTCGTCTGTCGTCGTGTGTTTTTATCTTAGCTGTAACTCGTCTGTCGTCGTGTGTTTTTATCTTAGCTGTAACTCGCCTGTTGTTGGGTTTTTATCTTAGCTGTAACTCGCTCTTACTCGTCTGTCGTCGTGTGTTTTTATCGTAGCTGTAACTCGTCTGTCGTCGTGTTTTTATCTTAGCTGTAACTCGTCTGTCGTCGTGTGTTTTTATCTTAGCTGTAACTAGCTCTAACTCGTCTGTCGTCGTGTGTTTTTATCGTAGCTGTAACTCGCTCTAACTCGTCTGTCGTCGTGTATTTATCGTAGCTGTAACTCGCTCTAACTTGTCTGTCGTCATGTTTTTATCGTAGCTGTAACTCGTCTGTCGTATTTTTATTGTAGCTGTAACTCGCTCTAACTCGTCTGTCGTTGTGTTTTTATCGTAGCTGTAACCCGCTGTAACTCATCTGTCGTTGTGTTTTTATCGTAGCTGTAACTCGCTCTAACTTGTCTGTCGTCATGTGTTTTTATCGTAGCTGTAACTCGCTCTAACTTGTCTGTCATGTGTTTTTATCGTAGCTGTAACTCGCTGTAACTCGGCTGTCGTGTTTTTATCGTAGCTGTAACTCGCTCTAACTTGTCTGTCGTCATGTGTTTTTATCGTAGCTGTAACTCGCTCTAACTTGTCTGTCATGTGTTTTTATCGTAGCTGTAACTCGCTGTAACTCGGCTGTCGTCGTGTTTTTATCGTAGCTGTAACTCGCTCTAACTTGTCTGTCGTCATGTGTTTTTATTGTAGCTGTAACTCGCTCTAACTTGTCTGTCGTCATGTGTTTTTATTGTAGCTGTAACTCGCTCTAACTTGTCTGTCGTCATGTGTTTTTATCGTAGCTGTAACTCGCTCTAACTTGTCTGTCATGTGTTTTTATCGTAGCTGTAACTCACTGTAACTCGGCTGTCGTCGTGTTTTTATCGTAGCTGTAACTCGCTCTAACTTGTCTGTCGTCATGTGTTTTTATTGTAGCTGTAACTCGCTCTAACTTGTCTGTCGTCATGTGTTTTTATCGTAGCTGTAACTCGCTCTAACTTGTCTGTCATGTGTTTTTATCGTAGCTGTAACTCGCTCTAACTTGTCTGTCGTCATGTGTTTTTATTGTAGCTGTAACTCGCTCTAACTTGTCTGTCGTCATGTGTTTTTATCGTAGCTGTAACTCACTCTAACTCGGCTGTCGTTGTGTTTTTATCGTAGCTGTAACTCGCTCTAACTTGTCTGTCGTCATGTGTTTTTATCGTAGCTGTACGGAGAGGATGCCCAAACTCCACGTCACGTCAGAAGGCAGCATTGAGACAGAAGGGACAGGTATGCTTCAGGTGAGAACAAACCCAAAGAAACATCCTGACCTCCTTGTGATCTCCGCCTGAATAAAAAACAAACGAGTGAGTCTTTCTTCTGTGTTCAGGTGGATTTCGCCTCCAGCTGGATCGGTGGAGGCGTCCTGGGATCCGGTTTGGTTCAGGAGGAGATTTTGTTCCTGATGAATCCGGAGCTGATCGTGTCCCGACTCTTCACTGAGAAACTCGCATACAACGAGTGTCTCATTGTTACAGGTCGGCGCGTAATGAAATCATGTATTTATCGTATTCCTCCATCACCATGAGCACTAACCATCGAGTTTTATTTGGACTGACGTTTCTGTTTCAGGCTCTCAGCAGTTCAGCTGTTACTCTGGTTTTAGTGACACGTTTGAGTGGGCGGGGCCTCACGAAGACAACCTCAAAAGGTGCAGTATGACCTCTCGTTCATTTCATTTCATCCGAATGAATTTGTTTCCCTTGCATGAAGTTTTTTTGATGTTTTGCAGAGACGAGTGGCAGCGTCTGCAGAGACAGATTTTAGCCATTGACGCGCTTCACTTCAGACAAGGACGTGATCAGTACACCATGGATAAAGTCACACGAGAACTCAACAAGGTGCGTCGGCAATGTGGCGTTCTTAGATTTGATGGTTTTAAATCGCTGTAATCATTGTGACATCAGATTTTAGTTCAAATTAAAATATCAGCTTCAGATGCTCTGTCACTTCAGTATGATACAAGCAAAAAAAACATTGTATCCTGTTTCTAAACGGCTCAACATTTATTTGGTTATTAGCCGTGATGTCATAACCATCTCAGGTAGACTGACCACGTGCTACCTGAGTGTAGAAGGATGGTTTATGCTCCTGAAGAAGAAACAAGTTTGTCTGATATCAACCTCGTTTTAAGAACACGATTTATTCATGATAGCGTGTCACAGCGATGTCTCTGATTGGCGGAGCTTGCTGTTGCCATGGCAATGTTTTCCGCCCCTCTCGCGCATATGCGAATGCATAGATTCGCTAGCAAGCTAGCTAACAGTAAATGTACTAATGATCTTGTGATGCTGCAGTGAATGTAGTTTATATATATTCAACACAAACTACAACATAGTTCAACACCTGTATGAGCAGTATAAACACGATAACGACGATCAAAGTTACATTTAAGAAGAGGTTTCATTTGCAATGGATTGTGGGATTTGTAGTTCTTGGACTACGTACACAATCTTGTACCTTTCGCCTATATCTCAGTTTTTTAACGACGTTTTGGCACCGATTTAATTTTTTTGGGTAGCTGGTTGTCATGGTAACAGGCACCAAAGGATTTTTGGTGAAATGTCAATGAGGATTTAAACGGGGAAATTTACTTCTCTGCGGTCTCTGTTTTTGAGCTCTGTTACCATGGTAACAAAAAAAGAAGTCCGTCCCAGGCAGCTGATTATGGGTATATTTGGGATCTTTGAGTCTAATCACTTATTGACAATTGAGTGAAATTAAAAAACATAAAAAGATCAGAACACAACACTTTGTTAGTCTGTATCTCGATACCGTCTGACTCGTGTCTCTCTCACCTCAAAGCTTGTGGCTCCTTCTAAAGACATGTGAACACAAATGTCCGCTTACAGGAGTTGAATGTTTTAACATCTGTGGTTTTCCTTTTTGCATGTTTTCTGTCTGCTCCCTGAAGGCATACTGCGGATTTAGAGGCGAAGGACCGAACGAGCCGGACATCGCCACGGGCAAGTGGGGCTGTGGAGCTTTCAATGGAGACCCCCAACTCAAAGGTACCTCGATCCTTTGTAATGTTCTTATCAATCATCAATGAATCGTTAGTCCATCGATTCTGCAGAACAAATGATGAACTGATGTTAAGCTTTCGGTCTCCCTTATTGTCCAGCTGTGATCCAGCTGATGGCGGCGGCAAGGGCGAGGAGGGGGCTGGCCTTCTTCACCTTTCATGACGACAAACTGAAGCGAGACCTGACTCAGATTCACAACCTGCTGGTCAAAGAGAGAACCACAGTCGGTGAGAGTTTTACAAAGTCCACCACCAGGGGGCTCTCGATCAAAACAAAAACAAAAAGATGACGTCGAGGCTGGCGGGGAATCATGGGAGTGATTCTGTCCGCTGTTTTGGTTTCATGCTGGAGCTCAAGGGAGACATCTACTGGATCAAAAAGTCGCTTTTGTGTTTTGTTTTTTCTACATTTTGAATTTCTCTTCACAGGGATACTGTACGACGTTCTGGTGGATTTCTGTAAGGCTCATCAGGCGTCCAGCGGATCTCAACTGGATCTCTTTGCCTTCATCAAAAACAGCCTGAAACCATCCCGGAGCCAGCTGTGAGGACGCCATCACGTCAAATCTAACAGAAATGTTCTGAACAAAAATCAAGAATTTAATTTCCAAGTGTTTTGTAAATGTTGTCCTTTTTAATTTTTTTCTTTTTTATCTTTATTTCATGTTCGACTTAAATAAATCCCAGGACCTGGATAAACAAAAACCAAGAACTAAGACCTGGATGTAAAGGTGGAAGAAAAACCTTTTGTTGTTGTTGTTGTTAATGATTTAGAGCATTCCCTGCTTTTTTAATACACTGATGAATTATCAGACTAACTTTGCAAATGAAACGAGACAATGCAGATGATTAAACACAAACTGTTAAAGCACCATCGTCTTTATTTTCATCAAACAAACATTCAACAATTTAAGAAAATAAATACATCCTTCAGATCTCACATCACGTGTAATCCGTTATTGCAGGTGTGATTCTTAGTTATTGAAGTCAAAGTTTTATTTCAAGTAATCTGTTTGATTTGGCACAAATGGAGTCGATGACAGCGAGGAGGCAGGACGGTGAGAATAGGGACTGAAGGATGGAGGGGTGTGTGACCTTCAAATGCAGACATATGAGACGATTAAAATTGAGATAAACAACACCTGGTCTTCATAGAGTCACGACCGACTCTACCACTGAGCCACAGCCGCCAGTAGAGACTGAAATGATAAAGGTATCTTACTATCTGATCAGACATTAAGGAAACATGCTATGTTGAAGTACTGGCTTCTCTGACAACAATGCAGCAGCCAGTATGTCCTCCTTCTAACTTTAGATTCTGCTCCTGAATGCTCTGGATTTGTTTGGACCAGAGAAGGTAGGTGGTTTTTGAATTTCCCTCGGGATCAATTAAGCTATCGTCTTTTAAGGCTTTTGAAAAAAGCTCTGAGACTTATTTAAACTGGTTGAAGAGGAGGATATGTCACCTTGGAAACTTTGATGTTTGTGCACAATGAACGGACAACACATCTTTAATTGGAGCTTCAGGCTTTGTCGAGCAGCTTACTCAAAGAAAGGCTGGGCATGAAGACCTCACGCCGTGGTTAACCCCTCATGAGAGCCGGGCAAATTGTTTTCCCTTGTTTCCATATTTCTATGCGAATGGAAAGTTTCTTCTGGTCTAAGTTGCACCAACCTTCAGATCTCGATAAGAACTTAATCCAGCTTTGTTGTTGAAAAAAAATTAAACTTCCTTTTAATGCATTGAGTATTCCTTTCAACATGTACTTTGATTGCCCGACAAAATATTTAAAGCAAAAGATCAATGAGTTAAGACAGATATTCATCCAGCAGGTGATCGTGTACATGATTCAGGAGGTCATGCAGAGCGCAGCAGGTCGACACTAAAATTAACATAAAATCAATAAAAAAACAACAAGCTAACACTCTTTGTCTTTAAATCAAAATTTAGCATAAATCCAAAAATTCAAGCAGGTTCATTTATTTTCTTCTAAAAGAGTGTCCATCGCTGTGAACACGAGGTTTCCGTGGTAACAGTGTCAGCGGTCAGTAAGTCATTGTGCGTTTAGTTTGATTGCCTGAGAACAATCTGATATGTGGATAAAAAAAATGTAAAAACATCTGCAGGTTGGATGTGTGTGTGTGTGTGTGTGTGTGTGTGTGTTGGAGGATAGAGAAAGATGTTTTTCACACTTTTCCAGAGAAAGCTTCCAGATCGAACGCTGTATCCAGTAAACGCTGCAGCTCGCTCAGGTGAGTTTGTTTGTTTCCCGTAGCCGGAGCTGCCGCGGGCTCCCGACCAGCGTACCTACAGAGTTAAAAAAAAAAACAACAGTCAGAGACGAAGGACATGAGAGAGAAAGAGGCAGGAGAGTCGTCCAACTGAAGACTCACCAGACGGGGCGTCTGCGGTTGATGGTGGTGCGGATTCGGGGCTTGACGTAGTCGTAGTAACCCTGGTTCTTGTGCTCCTCCTGACACCAGACCAGATCGGCGTTTGGATAAAGATCAGCTTCAGATTTCACCAGATCAAACGGGAACGGTGACAGCTGAAAGAGATCATTCCATTTTAGATAAACGGATCGAATGGATCACATTTCTTTTTCCAACAAATACTTCACAACAGAAGTCCCCTGTTTTTGTTATGTTGGAGCGCTTTTATTGTGAAAGAGTCACATCAGGAAATGGTGTTTTAGCAGCAGCTAGCAGAACCCTGCAGGGAGAAATGCAGCTTGAAAAACACACAGATTCACTTACAAGTTACTGAGATCTGAACTCAGTGACTCATGAAAACATTTACCTGGTCTCATGCACAGAAACGACATCAGACTTGTTTGACAAATTAAATAAAAATAGATGATATGTATCTCAGGTTGAGTTCATCTTGCCTTCATCTGCAGCACCTGAGTTAACGTTACCTGCTCTATGCGGACGACAGCTACAGAGTCGTCCATGCCTCTGTTTTTGCGTTCTCGGGTCAGTTCATAGAAGATCTTCCCGGTGCAGAAAACGACCCTCTTCACCTTCTCTGGATTTGAAGCTGCAGGTCCGTCGTCGGGGATTACACGCTTGAAGCTCGTGCCTGCAGGACGACAAACAAAAAGAGATTCTGTCTATATTTCAGAAAGAACAAATGTAAATCTTTGCTCGGTTGAACATCATTAAAGCATCTGAAGGCCGTTTGTTTATCTTGTGAGCGCTCACCTGGCAGCATCTCATCGAAGCTGGACTTGGCCTCGGGATGACGCAGCAGTGACTTGGGAGTGAAAACTATCAGCTGGAGATGAAGACAGAGAGAGAGTTCAGTCAGAACACCTTCACTGTTTGTTTACTTTTCAGTCGGGTTTCTTGGCGTCTCACTCACAGGCTTCCTGAAGGGCTGCAGGATCTGTCTGCGGAGGACGTGGAAAAAGTTTGCAGGAGTCGAGCAGTTGACGACGATCCAGTTGCAGTCGTACAGCTGACGCACCGCAAAGTCCTCCGACAGTTTCTGATGAAAGACCAAGGAATAAAAATCAGAGGCTGAGCTCAAATATCAAATTAAAACATCAAACATTTACATTCTTATAACTTATTTAAATCTGACTTCTGCAGTCTTTTTGAGTATCGTTGTTATGGATACAGTAAAGAAGGATGAGGCTGATCTCTTCATTTGCTCAGGTCTGAAACATGGACCAATATGTTACATAATTACCTGAAGTTCAGTCTGTGTTCACACAGGGACATTTACAAGCAAACCAAAATATGTGAGGATAATCGCTGAAGGCGTTTATCAAGACAGTTCAGCCTCCTGATCCAGGACCTGCTCATCCACCCAATAAAAGTGGGCCGAGACCCAGCTTTGGAGGGTCTCTTTACGATTGATTGGTCCACACCAGGGTTTGATTGACAGCTCAAATGAACTGCACTAACTTGGCATGCAACACACCACCTGGCCAGATAGCGCACCTTGTACAGAGGTTATAGTCCACAGCTCGGTAATGCAGCTGTTTCTCTTTGTATGACGGATGTGCCTGTTGGTTTTAGCTTGTAGTTGAACATCACTGTAATAAAAAGATGCCTCACCGTAGGTTTTAGTTTGGACATTTGGAACAATTAAAAGACCACTACCAGAAGACCTGAGGGCTCTGGTGGGCTCATAACTTAAAAGCAAATCGGATAAGTAGGGGGCCGCAAGCAAGGCCATTAAGAGCTTTAAAAACCAATAAGATAATCTTTAAAATCAGTTCTAAAACAAACGGGTAGCCAATGCAGAGACTTTAAATCGGAGTAATGTGTGCTCTCTTTCTTCGTCAGCAGTCTTGCAGCTGAACAAAGGCAGACTCAAGTCAAATTTGCACGCTGGATGTAGGCTGCAGACCCAATCACAAGTTGGAGGCCGCACCGGCATTCTGGTTTATTTAGAGATAGTACATTCGATAGAGTCAGAAGCTGGAGAGAGAAAGTGAAGAATGAAATGCGGAAAAGGAGCACAGGCCCGTGCAAGACGTTTTTGCGCTGCTGAAATAAAATGAGTGCACATTTTTTTAGGTATATTCCATAAACACATTATTTGTGCTTTTCTCTTTGAGTGGCGGGAGGTCGCATTGGGGTGGCGGGTCACAGATACAGGAGACATGTGACCAGCTCTGATGAATATATAAGTCCTGTCTGACATGAACTCACAGGGAACACGTCGGGGTCATCGTTGCACATCTGTAGAAACCTTTCAGGGCGGGCCGACGAGTGCTCCGGACCCTGAGGGAGAAAAGGCAAAATGAAAAAATCGATTTTTCAAACAGAGCTCTTGTGATAATCTGGATCAGCACAGATCACAGCGTTTGGTTTCACAGCGTTATGAAATAATCAAGATGACTTCTCTCACCATTCCCTCCATGCCGTGAGGAAGCAGCAGCACAATGCCGTTCTGTCGGACCCACTTGGCCTGACCCGGGCTGATGAACTGGTCGATGATACACTGAGCCGTGTTGTTAAAGTCGCCGAACTGGGCCTCCCACAGAACCAGAGCGTTGGGACTGGACATGGCATAGCCTAACTCAAAACCTGCACACAGAATGGACCGCCTTGTTGGTAACTGTTGAACAGAAGTATTTCCAGAAAGAGTGTGTGTGTGAATGTTACTCACCCAGAACTCCGTACTCGGACAGAGAGCTGTTGCAGACGGTGTAAGGAGCCTGATCAGGGGAGACGTAGTTCATCGGGATGCAGATCCTCTTGTCAACGTTTTGGTCATGGAGGACATGGTGTCGATGGCTGAGAGGAAAATCATGGAAAGGATTTTAAAAACTGTTTGAAGATGGTTGTGAAAGAGATTCCTTTTGAGCGGTAACACTCTAACAGTGGTTTCACATTAGGGCCCGGGTCCGAATACGTCTGACCTCAAACTCTGGTTCATTTTATGAGTGGGAACACAAACATACCGTACTCTGGTACCGTGCATGAGCCTGCTTGAAGAGGTTGTCTGGGGCACGATTCATGTTTCCTCTAGAACTGTGAACCGAATATGTGAATGCCACTGAGCTCAAACAAGGAAGAGGACTGCTATATGACATCATTCGAAACGGCCTGTACCCTCAAAAAAAAAAATGTTGGATCAGCGCAGCACTGAGCTGCAAGATAGTTGTAGGAAGTAGAATGAGGGTCAATGTTGGCGTCTTAGAAATAACAAAAACATCAACAGTTAGCAGGATGGACATCAGCCCGCGAGTGGTTGCCATGGTTGCTTCTTCTTCTGTCTGCTGTTTGGTGGAATTGCAAACCAACTATGTTCATACCGCCCCCTGCTGTATCAGACTGTGTATATATGCAAGTGTACTCAGACACTGAATGATGTTACTAAAGTGGACGCAGACCAGTGGGGGAGAGAGAAGGTATAAATCGTATTTGGGCTTGCTGACCAAGCAGAGGGAGCAGCTTGGAGTTTACTGTCTTGCCCGAGGACACATCAGACATGTGGCTGCAGGAGCTGGGGATCAAACCCGTTACACTCGGGTTGAGAGCCCATCATCCACTAATCCACAGCTGCCCAAACCACAACAACACAAATTACCTTTAACACTCAGACACGGTCAAAAAGTGTTTGCGTTCAGTAACACCATCATAATCGTCCCTCTACGGGCGCTGAGAGTCGGCAGCCTGTTGCAGCAGCTCCGACTCTTTTTTCTTTATTTCGTCTATTTTCTTGCTTTTATTAAGTATTTTTGCACTGTTTCTGTGTTTACTGTTGGACACTGCTGCAGCGTTTTAGTTGCGGTATTACTCGTGGAATTACGTGTTTCTTTCGGGACTTTTTTTCTACTGTTAGAATGATCACGTACACTCGTGAGGAACTACTGAGCTTCAGGCATGGAGCCGGTGTTCCTCCTACATGCATCCCTGAGGAGTTATGGAGAGGTGTCCGCCGGGGGAAGACAGCCTGCGCTAAAGTCAGGGAGCGGATCGAGAGAGACAGGGAATTTAAACCCTTTCTACCATCGGTCATCATGGGGAACATCAGGTCACTCGCCAACAAAGCGGACGAACTCACAGCTTTAGTAAACAGCCAGAGTGTCTACAGGGAGTGCAGTTTACTTTGCTTCACGGAGACATGGCTACATGGGAATATACCGGACAGTCACATCGATCTGGCCGGCTTCACGCTGGTACGAGCGGACAGGGGGAGAGAGAGCGGTAAGAAGAGAGGAGGAGGTCTTGCTGTCTTTAAATGGTGTAATCCTGGACATGTCACTGTGAAGGACTGTGTCTGTACCCCAGACGTTGAAATGCTGGCGGTGGGATTACGCCCGTACTATCTGCCACGGGAGTTCTCACATGCTATTGCTGTTGCTGTTTACGTCCCACCATCAGCTGTAGCCGCTAGCGCGAGTGACGTCATCCACACTATGATCGCGGGACTACGCACCCAGCATCCCAGCGCCCTCATACTGATCAGCGGGGACTTTAATCATGTCTCTCTCTCCCCTGTCCTGACGAACTTTAAACAGTATGTGCACTGTGCTGTGAGAGGGAATAAAACCCTGGACCTCCTGTATGCCAACGTGAAGGGAGCATACAGCTCTTCTTCCCTCCCCCCTCTTGGGGAATCAGACCACAACCTCATCCACCTTGAGACCACCTACAGGCCCCTGGTGAAGCAGCAGGGGGCCAACACAAGGACTTTGAAGGTTTGGTCTAAGGATACAGAGGAGGCCCTGCAGGAGTGCTTCAATGTCACAGACTGGGAACTGTTTAAGGAGGAATATGGTGATGACATTGAAGGCCTCTCTCATTGTATTACAGACTACATCCGTTTCTGTGAGGACACCATAGTCCCTACCAAAACGGTCTGCTGCTTCTCAAATAACAAACCATGGATCAATAAAGACATTAAAGCTCTCCTCAACAGAAAGAAGAGGGCCTTCATGACTAGGGATCGTGAGGAGCTCAAGGCTGTCCAAAAGGAGTTAAAGAAGAAGCTGAGAGAGGCCAAGAACAACTACAAGGACAAGACTGAGGCCAAGATGAACAACTCAAAGGAGGTGTGGAATGGCATGAAGCAGATGACGGGCTGCAGCAGGCCGGAACCCAGAATTAAAGGAGACCCAGTATTTGCTGCTGAGTTGAACCTATTTTTCAACAGGTTTGACACATCCCCCGACCCAGTGAGCTCAAATAGTGGGTCTAGGTCTCCCCCCACCACCTCAGCCCCCATTCACACCTCTGCTGGAGACTCTGCTCTTCCTCTTCCTCCCATCAAGGTCCTGACCACCTCCCCCCCCCTCTCAGCTCCTCATCAGCAGCTTCAAAGGACAGCCCCCCCTCACCCCCCAGCTCCCTCCCTTCAGGTACCTGCATGACAATAGACAGTTCCCCACACCCCTCCCCCACTCACTGTCCCACTCTCACTCTGACTATCAGCCAGGTACAAAGAGAACTTTCCAGACTCCACATCTGAAAAGCCAGTGGACCAGACAACATCAGTCCCAGGATCCTCAAGGTGTGTTCTGGGCAGCTTGCAGGAGTCTTTCAGCACCTCTTCAACCTCTCCCTGAGGCTGATGAAGGTGCCTGACCTGTGGAAGACCTCCTGCATCGTCCCGATACCAAAGAAAGGTCGTCCCAGCGCTCTCAATGACTACAGACCTGTGGCACTCACGTCACATGTCATGAAGACATTTGAGAAGCTGGTTCTCCAGCACCTGAGGACCCTGCTCACTGCTTTCCAGGATCTGTTGCAGTTTGCATATCAGAGGCACATTGGTGTGGAGGATGCTATCATCTTCCTGACCCACAAAGCCCTGTCACACCTGGAGACGAGAGGAAGCACTGTGAGAGTCATGTTCTTTGACTTCTCCAGTGCTTTCAATACCATCCAGCCCTGCCTCCTGAGGGACAAACTGCTGGATATGCAGCTGCGCCCTGACATCTCAGCCTGGACTTCAACTACCTCACGGGCCGGCCACAGTATGTCAGAGTCAACGGCTGTGTCTCTGATGTAGTGACGGGCAACACAGGAGTACCTCAAGGAACTGTTCTGGCGCCTTTTCTCTTCACTCTCTTCACATCAGACTTCAGGTTTAACTCTGGTTCCTGCCACCTCCAAAAGTTTTCAGACGACTCCTCCATTGTTGGGTGCATCACTGATGACGACGAGAAGGAGTACAGAGGACTGTTAGAGAGCTTCGTCACATGGTGCGAAAGCAACCACCTGAAGCTCAACATCAGCAAAACAGAGGAGGTGGTAGTGGACTACCGGAAGAAGAAGAGGCCCCCCCGCCCCAGTCATCATTCAGGGGGAGGAAGTGGAGAGGGTGGACTCATACAAGTACCTTGGGGTCCACATCAACAATAAACTGGACTGGTCTCACAACTCTGACGCCCTCTTCAGGAAGGGACAGAGCAGGATGTTCTTCTGAGGAGACTCAGATCGTTCAGTGTCTTGCAACAGACTCCTGAAGACCTTCTACCAGTCTGTGGTGGCCAGCGCCCTCTTCTTTGCTGTGGCGTGCTGGTGGGGTGGCATCAAGACTGGTGAGGCAAAGAGGCTGAACAAGCTGGTGAGGAAGGCCTGCTCTGTAGTGGGTCTGGATCTGGACAGTTTGGAGACAGTGGGTGAGAGGAGGATGAAGGACAAAATCTTATCCATCCTGGATAACTCCTCTCACCCTCTACATGGTGAGCTGTGGCAGATGGGCAGCTCCTGCAGCCAACGCCTCATCCCCCCCAGGTGCAAAACAGAGCGCTTCAGGCGCTCCTTTGTGCCCACTGCCATCAGACTGTACAACAGCAGCCGATGACAACAATAACAGTCCGTCCTGACACTAAACTTCACCCCCATAAAACACTACCCTCATGACCTGCTTCACTATTATCATTGTATTTTTATTATTACTTAGGTCAACATATATATATATATATACACACACTGTACATTCTATATATTTATTATTATACTAGTCTATATTATATAACATTTCATTATATTACACTATATTGTTCATATTGCACTATATTATATTATATCATATTATACTACATTATATCATATTATACTATATTATATCATATTATACTACATTATATCATATTATACTACATTATATCATATTATACTACATTATATCATATTATACTATATTATATCATATTATACTACATTATATCATATTATACTACATTATATCATATTATACTATATTATATTATATCATATTATACTACATTATATTATATTATACTACATTATATCATATATTATATTATATCATATTATACTACATTATATTATATTATACTACATTATATCATATTATATTATATTATATCATATTATACTATATTATATTATATTATATCATATTATACTACATTATATTATATTATACTACATTATATCATATTATATTATATTATATCATATTATACTATATTATATTATATTATACTACATTATATCATATTATACTACATTATATTATATAACTGCACTCTGCATTACTGTGGAACAACACTGCCTCTCTTCTCTGCTCTTTACATTACTTGCTGCTATTTATTTATCATACCAAGTCACTTTAATCATCACTTGTCACTTTATCTGGTCATTCTCTTCAAATACTGTCTCAATTCTCAATTCCCCCCAGTTAACTTCATCATTCATTTTGTACTGTATATACCCACTGTTTTTATTTTTATTTATCTTATCTCTTCTGTTTAATGTGTATTTGAGCTTTCTTGTCTGTGCTGCTGTAACGCCCGAATTTCCCCTCTGGGGATCAATAAAGTATTATCCTATCCTAACACCACTGCCACACCTTGGCTTTATGCACACAAAGCCAAGGCTCCACACGGTGGTGTATGTTGGTATTACATGCAGGTAAATCATAACACAGTTTTATCTCTCAGGCAGTAATTAAATTCAAAACAATTAAAACACTAATTTTGGCTCAAACACAAACATCAGTACTAAAAAAAGGAATGTAAACATTTAGTCCATTCATTACCTGAATGTTCCTCTCTCCACGTCCTGTCCACTGAGACGAACGTGGATCCCTTCTTTGAGCAGAGAACCAAAGGCCATATATTCACCCAGAGCCCAATCACACACTCTCTGATTCACCATGTTAGTGCGTCCCTTTAGGATGCGGCTCAAACCTAAAAACACAGACATGCAGGACAAACGCAGACTGTAACGAGATGTCCAGAGGTTATTTATAGAAACAGGTTATTAAGTGAGCACCTCCATGTATGGTGAAGTCCTCCACAGGGACCGACGCAGCAATGTTTCCGATGTGGCTGAGCTCTTCTTCACTGACGCCAGTGGGAGGGCAGGTCATGGTTTTGGGCTGTCCGTCCAGCGTGAAAAACTCTGCAGAAATACACACAAACACAACACGATCTCAAAATGCATGAAAGAAACAACAAGAAGAAGTACTGCGATGAATAAACAGGATTCATTTAATGGGGAAAAACAAGGCTGGTACCGGGCCACGGTGAGTCCAGCCAGTGTTTGATGTGCAGGATTTTCTCATCTTTGGAGCGATTGAAAGCATCTTCACAGATTTTATCGTACCTCGCCACTTCCTCCTGAATCAGAGAAGATTGACACAGTAAGTATCTAAATAAAAAGAGTTTCACTACTCTGTGAGGCTGCACACACAGGGCTGCTAAATGCTAACATCAGGGTGCTAACATGTTCACATACTAATTAGCTGATAATTACGGGCATTGAAGACTGAGTTTTGCATGCTAACAAATTGCAAATTTGCCCAAAAGTAAAGCTGACACTGATGGCAATGTTTCGCTTAGTGTAGGGTTGTCACGACTAAACTTTTATGTACTTGTAAAAATCAAACAATATCAAAACCTGCAAAAAAAATTTAACTTCTAAGCAACCAAAATTACAGAATGTCATGTTTTATTTACAAAATAATTCAAGCAAACTTCTGCAAACTGTCTAAATTAAATAAATAGGCAACATTTTGTATTTGTGCAATTTAATCGGCGTCGCCTCCTCAACTCTCCATTTATATTAGTGCATTCACACCTGAACAAAAGTCATTAAAATGTCCTGAAATTTTCAGGTTGAGCGTCATGTGATCACTCAAACATCTGAATGTTTCTCTCTTCACTCTGAGTTTCTCCTCCAGCCTCCTCGTATTTATTCTGCAGAAAGTCAGAGTGAGCTGATGTGAGAACACAGCAGGATATAATCAGGAGAATTCACCTGGAGCCAGTGGGAGGGGCCAGTGGGAGGGGGTGGTGACCTTTATTCCCTGTGATTGCTGCACGACCATAGACTGTCTGCACGCCACCTCTACCATCTCCGTGCTCTAATCAACCTGCTGCTGCATGTTTCCTGTTCTCCAGGATGTTCTTCTCCTCTCTTTAGATCACATTGAGATTCTGTTACACTACACGTAGCATTGATACAAAGACAAATACTCTCAATATAGTGTCGTTTATCTTGCCTCTGGAGACCCCCCCCCCCTCCGACTGAGAAAGTCTCCAGCTGTGAGGTGTAAGGAAGCTTAATCTATTTGTTAAACAGCGTATACAGCAGAAGTTTGTTTACCTCATACGCTTGTGTTGTGACGACTCCCTCAGTAATGAGTTTCTCTACGTACATCTTCAGCACTCCTTTCTGCTTCTTGATCTGTTTGTACATCAGCGGCTGAGTGAACATCGGCTCGTCCATCTCATTGTGGCCGTTGCGTCTGTAACACACCTGGATGAGAGGAGGTCAATGTTACAGAACTGCTCCTCCACCAAAGCATCACAAGAAACCTCCGCTCTGGAAACACCAACCAATCCAACATGACCTAGTGTTTTTTTCTCTATTAGATTTATTTTAAACTTTCAATCCAGATGAGGAAACATCGGCCTCTATAATAAGAGTAATATAAAAGTATTTACCAGATCTACGACCACATCTTTATGGAAAGTGTTCCTCCACTCGGCCGCCACATTACACACATACATCACAGCCTCGGGGTCGTCTGCGTTGACGTGAAAGATGGGAGCGTTGACGACTCGAGCGACGTCTGTGGGATACGGAGATGAACGTGCCATCCTGGGGTCTGTGGTGAAGCCGATCTGTGTGGACGATCGGATTGAATCACTTTTTATTTCTCACAATGGAGAGGAGAGCTCGGCTTGCGCTGCATCAAATGTATATCCTTTTAACTGTCAGCTGTGAGTCTCACAATGTTGCAGAGGTGCAATTATAAAACAGAAAGATTCGATTTATCCGAGGGAGGAGGGGGGATTCAGACATTGCATCAATTATTAAATACAATATAAAAACAAAGAAATAGAAGAATAGAAATCTAAGTACAAAAAGTGTTCTAACTCTGAGTCAGAGCCTTCTCGTGTACCTGGTTGTTGACCACTACGTGTACGGTGCCGTGTGTGGTGTATGACGGCAGGTCAGACAGGTGAAACGTCTCGTACACGATACCCTGTCCTGCAAACGCAGCGTCACCGTGAATCAGAATAGACATCACCTGCAAAACATTCATCAGGTTACAAACATGTGACGAGCAGAGGAACTTTTTTTTTTTTTTTTAACTCGGTGTGTTTACAAAATGAGCTGACTCGGCGTACCCTCTTGCCCTCCGTGTCTCCACAGTAAAACTGCTCCGCTTTGGTCTTCCCCTGGACCACCGGGTCCACCGCCTCCAGGTGAGACGGGTTCGCCATGAGCGACAGCGTGATCTGCCGGTCGCTGACTCGGTTCATCCTCTTGTGAAACATCCCCAGGTGATACTTGACATCACCAGAACCCTGAGAGCACAATGTCAGGAAGTAGTAAATGTTTTTAACTGTTTGGTGTTGACCTTTCTTCAACCTCTCTGTTAGCTTAGCTTAGCATCAAGACTGGAAAAGCGGAAACTGGTAGACAAAGATAAAATCCACCTGAAAGAAACCACAAAAATGTGGAGCATATCTTCAAAAGGCATTACCTTTGGCGAGTGATTGATATTCTCCAAGACACAAGTTGGGAAAAATCTGAGTAAAATCAGGTTTAATAGTCGATTTAATAATACAACAACTTTTGACAGGCAGAATAGCGTTTCTCCCGTGTCCACAGATCATCCCAGAAGCCTGATTATGAATATTAAATGATAAAGGTATCTTACTCTCTGATCATTAAGGAAACATGCTATGTTGAAGTGCTGGCTTCTCTGACAACAATGCAGCAGCCAGTATGTCCTCCTTCTAACTTTAGATTCTGCTCCTGAATGCTCTGGATTTGTTTGGACCAGAGAAGGTAGGCGCTTTTAAGACACACCCACACGGCCGTTTTGGACGCCCCTCGGTTTGTCAGATATGAGAGCAGTTATCAGGTCAACAGGTGTTGCAGTGATGGAAGCGGTCAAGAGAAGTGGTTCAGATAGAAGTGATTGTACCCGACCTAAAAAGCCTCTGCATGTTTCTAATAAGCTCCACGAGCAGAAACGTGCTCAAACTAGGATCAATATTGGAGATGCTTTTGAAAAATGGAGAGAGGTTAGAACACAGAAAGGTTTACAGACCCATGCAGAGCTGGATAAACACTGAAGCTTCAGAGTCCACCACATGGTGACCTGAGTGAGCATCCACTCTAGAGAGGAGGGGGGGAGACAGCTCTCTATGATGTTTAGAATTTAGACTGCAGTACCCATTTTAAACACTAGGAGTCAGAGTTACATCTACTGCAGCTCCTTGAATTTCCTTCTCTAGAGTTTTCTCTAGAAATGTTACCGTCTTTCTTGGCCTTTCTGGTTTTAGTGATAAATCAAATCGTTATTCACAGATTCATTTGTAGAGCATGTCCGAAGTCTTACAACCAGCGATTGAAACAAACATTGATCTCCATGTTAGCAGCTTATGTTCAAACCTCGTCTGCAGCCTCCAGTTTGGAGTCAAACTGGCAGAAGATTTGTTCCAGCTCCTTCCGGATCACGTTAGCGAGGACGTTCAGTCTCCCCCTGCAGACAGATAATCAGGAAGGTCCTGACTACAAGACATCACAGCTTCAAACCACAACAAGAAATATTTTGCCTTGATGTTCTGTAAATAAAGTCCACAAACTGGGGAATTTAAAATATTCTCTTCCCTCCTGGGGTTTCTGAGAAATTGCTTTTTGACATATGTCATAGAAAAACAACTCAACAGCCATTTTTCCTGAGCCATTATGACACCGAAGAGGCCGTGACCTGTAACATTTGGGTAAAAATATCACTCAATCTTCATTTGAAGGCCACATTTCAAGACGGATCGTGTCATATTGGCACGCCAAGGCTGTCTCTTTCTGATTGGATCCTCCAAACACAGCCTTACTTTGCAGAGCCAGAAACAATTCATCTGCTGCAAAGTTTCCCAAGATTAATTGTGCACCAATTCAAACACAATGGCAGTAAAATTGATAAGAATGAAGGACAGACTTTTTCATGACGTGCACATTATTGTTTATAATGATTCTAAGGTGACTGAAGTACTGTAAACGATGTTGTAACGCCGTTTACCTGTGGGGCATCCCCATGATCACACTCTCCACTCCGCTCTGACTCGACTTGTCGATGATCGTCTTCAGGGCCGGGATGAGCGACTCGCAGCCTTCCAGGCCGAATCGTTTCTCTGAAGACCACTTCCTCTGCAGAAACTCCTCGAACCTGTGAACGGGTGGAGGAGCTGCTGTTGGACATTTCACGTCAGAGCATCTGAGACCTCGTCCACACGTAGGCGGGTATTTTTTGAAAACAGAGGGTTTCCTCCTCCGTTTAAAAAAATCTTCATCCACATAAAAACGCTAAACGCATGCCTGTCATGAGCACTCAGCCCAATCAGGCGTCTCTGCTCGTCCACATAGTGGGAGAGTAACTGTGTGTATATGTATGAGCATGTAAAAAGTCCAGTAAGCAACGTTAGCACCAGCGCTAGTTTTGTTACGTCTGCCATCGAACTAATCTCATGTCAACCAAAGTGACAGCGTCGCACAAAGGCGTCAAACGGAGGAGAAACCGGCGCACAGCATGAAGTTACAAGCCTGACTCTGTTTTAACGTCTACACAGAAACACCTTAAAGTGAGTTTCTGAAGATGTTCACCCTGGAAGGAGTTTTACTAAAGGAGCGTTTATATTGATCTGAAAGCAGTTTGTGTACAGAAGGCCAAAACAGAAAAAGCTGTGTTTCCAAAAATACCAACCTACATGTGGACGAGGCCTAACACCCCCCCACCCCCTTCCTCCAACCCCAGCTGCTCTGCATGCTTCTCCCTTTATTCTTATTCACTGAGGTGTGCAGAGGAATGTAAAAAAAACAGACCTTGTGGATCGGATCATCCGGGCCAGCAGCGTCTTCTTCTCCTCCAGACTGAACTGCATGATTCCTGGAGTCTCAAACTTCTGCCTGATCCACTGACACTGCTCCAGGTCGTTGATGAACATAAACTCCACCCCGATGTGCTGACAGTAAGCCGTCTACGTGACAGAGGGACAGCTGAAGGTGTTTGAATGTCTAATTCAGGTATCGACTGATGTTAAATCTACAAGCTGCACTCAGCGTTTATAATTCTGTCCAAACAAATCTGGTGAAAGTGCCATTATTGTTTAGAACCGATTAATGACCAGAGCACTTTACCTCCAGGCGGCGTATAATCTCCCTGAGAGGCAGAGCGCTCTCATTGCCTCCAATGTAGGTTTTGGTGGGAAGCCGGAAAACTTTGTCCAAGTCGGACTCGGCCAGCCCGTAGACACCTGTCAGAAAAGACACGGACATTAGGAAGAAGAAGCTCAGCACGCGAGCGCAGTCATCTAAATCAGGTCAATGTGAGGATGAGAGACGAGACGGGGAAATACAGCGAGGCTGACATTTAACCATTACTATGATTACAAAAGGAAAAACAACCCAATGCAAGATTTCCTGCAGTATACTATTCCTGCTGCTTTATTTAATCTTTATTGTTTTAACTCCATGAAATGCTGAAGCTGTCTAATCTTGCATAACGTCCCGAGAGAGGACTCAGGACTGTAGGTGAGTCTGGAGTTGGGGGATATCATCTGCCAACGGGGGGCATGCAGACAAAGTTTGGGAACCACTGAATTAGAAGCCCAAATTGTCCGACTCAAGCCACTACAGAAAGTATGCTTTGATTGTTGTTTGCTTTGTTTGTAATGTTTACTTTTATTTTATTTCTAAAACATGTTAGAAATAAAATAAATTAAATTAAATGAAAATGAAAAGTAGCTGGACCCAACAATGAGCTCAAACCGAGGTGACCCTGATGACATCACTATGACATCATCAGCTCTGTCAGAATTAGTTTCGCAGGCTGAGAAGACCCTCCCCATTACAAGAAAAACGACCTTCAAGTATTAAATCGGTCATGTTCCCCTTCAAGAAGTCTAATTGTTTCCAATTTTATCTTTTAGTCCCTCAGGAGGCCGAGGCTCTCCTACAATCTCCAAATGGTTTAGATTGCTCCCCCGAGGCTCTGAACGAATACCCTTAAAACCTGACAGTAGTGTTTCACATGGAAGTCTTTGTTTTGTGCTCTACCTTAATGATTTTATGTGTGTTTACTCTTTTATTTAATCTGTTTCTGTCCTGCAATTTACTTTCCATTGGGCGAGAGGCGGGGCTACACCCTGGACTGTTCACCAGCCAATCACAGGGCGGACATAAAGAGACAAACAACCAGCCACATTAACACCTAGTGGTGATTTAGAGTCACTAATGAACCTAACGAGCATGTCTCTGGACTGTGCCAGGAACCCACACATGCACGGTGAGAACATGCAGACTCCACACAGAGAGGCTCCTGTCAGACGGGGATTCAAACCAGGAACCTCCCCGCTATGAGGTAACCACGCTAACCACTACACCACCATGCAGCCCTAATAGCATTATATCATTGCAAATTAAGGTTATTCTTTATTTAATAATGCCAAACTCTGAAAATAAGATGTGATACTAGTAAAACTCAAAAAATGTCAACACTTGATTCAATACCACAGAAACGAAAATAGATTTCTTAGACGCACAATATCAGGTATTTTCAGATTTTTAATTACCGTACATAAAATAGGAAGCAATCTCCTGAGGACAGTTTAAATTTCACAAACACACTGGCAACGTTTCCTATTTGTGCAACTAAGACAGTGCTCTCTCTCTCTCCTTTGGTTTAAGTTATGACTCAGTGTCTGATGTTTTTTTTTTAAAGCTTCAGTCCTTTCTTACAACAGAGACACTAAAATAATAAACTGCACAGTATGACATCTACAACACAGTGACAAGATGTTAATGTGCTCGTAGCCGAAGGCAAACAGGACAGGACTGATGGGTTGTTTGCTGCTTAAATGGTGGGATGTCTACAGAGATCTGAAGAGCAGTCTGAGACATTATGTGGTTAGCTTGTGTTTATTTAACACAAGTGGCGTCCTAGCTGCACCAAACAGAAATAAGACGATAAGGAACTGACAACGGGAAAAGGGAGGAGGGGAGGAGGGGGAAGTTGGTCTGTCTGTCTGTACATCTCTGTCAGCAAAGTTGGTGCTGTGCTGTGCTGAGGCCAGGAGGTTTTCAATCCGATACAGCAGAGTCAGCTCTCTCTCTCTCTCTGTGCATTGTGTAAATAATCTTTAGACTACCCTCCCTCCACCCTCGCCTCTGTTTAACCTCCTTGCACATAAAAATCACAAAATTTGTTTTCTTTGATGGCACAAAGCAGAGCCAGAGCGTTCCGAAGCAGCGAACAAAAAGAGTCGGCCTGCGATCTAATCACGCTGACATTTTAAGGAAGCAGACACAGATAAGCCTGGATGAGTCGTGTTCGACCCCGCTGGACGCTGAGCAAAGGTCAGGAGGAGCCAAAAACACACACTACACGCATTCACCACCTTTCCAAGAAGCACAACCCCTGCAGGTCAATAAACTGAGTCAGCGTTCTCTACAGCCATGTGCAGACTCTTGTGAGCTTCAGTAGAAGCCATTAAAAGTACAACATGCTGCAAGTCTCCTTTAAAAACAAAACAATGACTCCAAAGAAGAATTAGCGGTATGTTGCTTGCAGCACTTGGAATTTTAAACATACTTAAAGGCATATCATTTTGCAAAAAGAAGAAAAAAAACACACAGAGTGCCTTTTAGTGTTGACCACAGACTGTAAATATTAATGGATGAAGCCTGAGTGTCGTCCCCCGTCAGTTCCTGCAGGGGGCGCTGGAGTCCCATCGATGGCGGTCTCCATGCTGGAAATGCTGTCTCAGTCTAACTTTCAGTCAACCTAATGACAGGCTGAGAGCTGGAGCTGAGGCGGGTTTTAAACCTCCTGACAAACCGTTACACCGCGCCCACCTGTCAATCAGGTCAGCTACACGCCTAACTATGGATAACACGTACCGCTCATAAAATCCAAATGGTCAGTAGTAAAAAAAAAAAAAAAATCTCCAGTACAGCGTATGCCAATCGAGACTTGACGTCATATTCGTCATCCCATCAGGGGCAAAAAGATGTTTTTATTAATGTTAAGATACTTTTGGGTTAGTTGCACATCAACATGTTGCAAAAATATAACAGAGACATTTCACACATCCTCTTCGTAGCATCCAACCCGTTTGTTGTTGTTGTTACAACATTCAGAACTAAAAACATGTGATCACACTGAAGTCAGAAAATACGACATCCCAACTCATCCTTTTCCCTTTACATTACTTATCTGTTGTATTGTTCTCATAGTTTTTGCTTCGTTTTTTCCAGTGAAAGCCTCTTTGAGTATTGAGAAAAGCGCTATATAAATTTAATTTATTATTATTATTATTATTATCTCGGAAACTGGGACCATCCGAAGAGCACCTGAATGCAACATTAGTTATAAAATAAATCATCAAAGGCTTCAAGCTGACAGTGATAAAGCTAACTGGTTGCCACTTGCCACTATAACTTTGTTGTGTCTGCACTTTTCTATGCAGTGGTCTGCTGGGGAGGAGGGAGCACAGAGAGAGACAGGAAGAGACTGAACAGACTGGGCAGGAGGGCCAGTTCTGTCTTGGACTGTCCTCTGGACTCTGTAGAGGAGGTGAGTGAGAGGAGGATGTTAGTGAAGCTGACATCCATCATGGACAACCCCTCTCACCCCCTGCATGTCACTGTGGGGGCCCTGTGGGGGCCCTGTGGGGCCCTGAGCAGCTCCTTCAGCAGCAGACTCAGACACCCACCCTGCAAGACAGAGCGTACGCAGGTCGTTCATCCCATCTGAAGTCAGACTGTTTCATCAGACTCTTTAATCAGACTCTTTAACAGCATCACCACCTCATGACTCATTTCAACAATGCTACACACTGTGTGTATTTTTAATAACAATAACTCTTTCCGCAAGTGGAAGTGTACATACCTTGTATTATTGTATTTTTTCTCTCTTTATTCAACTGAAATATGTTTGATTTTTAACTTCTTGTTATTTTTAATAATCATATTCCTGTTTGCTTGAGCTGTTGTAACACAAAAATTTCCCCCATGGGGGATCAATAAAGTTTATCTCAATCTTCTTTATCTTTATCTTTAAATGTTGCTTCATGCTGTGCTGATGGTGGATTCATGTTGGGTATTTGGAAATAGTACAAACAAAAAGTAAGGTTTTGCAAGCTGTTTTTGTAAAGTGTCTTGAGATAACATTTGTTACAAATCGCTATACAAGTAAAGCTGGTCAATGTTCTGGTCCTTCATCTGGGAGTCAGATCACACAGACAGTCCTTATAAAGAGATAAACTCTGGAGGCATGGAGAGTCACAAAATCACTCGCTGCAGCTTACAAACTTCACATTTTCTCTGTCAGAGTCTGACAACATTTTGTTCGACCTCTGTGAACCTGAGCGTCACCGGAACAAAGGAGAACTCTGTGAAACTGAACAATAACCTGTAAAACTGTAGAAGCGTCCTTTAACAGCTCATAACAATCACCTGCGTTTAAACTCGGAGGCCAGAACCCTTTCATTAGGAACAATGACGGTTTGCTGCAGGCATGCATAACAAACACACGCTCACACACTTTACTTTCTGGTCTAAATAACTAAACAGACCACTCTATATGATGATGAAATTATATAACTTTTCAACTGTGAGTGACTGGGACAAAGGCCCCAGTAGAAGCCATGTATTGGCTGAGACAGCTGTGTGTCTTATGACATGATTACCAGTCTGTTTACATTCCAAAAAGACAAATTAAATGTGTACGCTTAATTAAATGACCATAAAAAACAGATTCAAACACTGCTCGACTTCCTTTCAATGATATAAAACTGTGCAAATTATAATCTACTTGTTACCTTGTTTTCTGCACTGTCACTAAATCATTAATGTGAGACGTTGGATTAACACCTGACTGTATTTTTACAACATCAAAGACCTGAGGGATCAGTATTTGAATTTTGAAGAGCCAAAATTGCAAACATTGCATGCTCCTCTCTACTGATACGTCTCCTCCTGACCCCGTGTGGTGCAGGAGGTGATCATGTGAGAAGGTGTGGGCTTCAGGTTTGCAGCCCTACACCTAGAGAGTCATGGAGACCCCACCTTCAATGTTGATATTGTCATTGCTAATACTAAGTGGAGTAAAGGTGTGTCAATGGGAGTAAACAAAAGAGGAAGAGGGACAATGTTTGAAGGGGATCACTTAAGATTAAGACGTTGGAGGTGATGGGTGTAACATGGAAAAGATAAATAATGAATAAAAGGTCACGCAGGGATGAAAGTTTGCAGAGATGGGACAACTTTATGGGTGATAAGACAGCGAGGGGGGAAATCAAAGCGATCAAGTATCAAGGACAAAAAGGATTTAAAAAATCACCCAGAGAGGGTCAAATAAAAGCAGATTTAACTTTCTCACCAACGTTCTGGAAACCAACGGCACACGGGGTGTCGTCAAAGTCCACACAGCTGATGTCCAGGGGGTCCAGCTTGGCTATGTGGTGCCCTCGTACCTGCACACACACACACACACACACACACACACACACACACACACACACACACGACACAGCAGCTCAGGGTTTGTGTGTAGCTGAGTTAAAATCATTCTGACCGGAGATTCCAACTTAGACGCTTACTATGTGAGCCGTTACATGAATCAGAGTCATATTTTCTACATGCAGAGACAAGATAAAAATCATGCTTTCATTCTGTTCTCATTAAATGAAGGTAAGCCGTGTAGTATCCAGTACTGTGTGAGATCAGTGTTGGTCTCGAGAACACTTTTTGAAGGTCTCGTCTCGGAATCACAAGCACTTTTAGTCGGTCTTGTCTCGGTCTCAGACTGGGCGGTCTCCGGATTTTAAATAGAGACTGGTCAAGATCACCACTGATTGTCTATCTTTCCACATCATTACTGTGATCAGAAGGAAAACGCCTCTTTCTAAAAGAACAAATAACTTCCCTCTGTAACAGCTGCAACCTTTCCGCTGTCATGGTCTAAGTGTGTGACACGCCCCCTACACGTAAAAATATGATGATTTTTCAGAGATATTTATTGTCTTGATCTTGACTCGGTCTCGATCCCTAAATGTCTCAGTCTTGTCTCGGTCTCGGAGCACTCTGGTATGTCTTGGTCTTGGTTCCTGTCCTCTTGACTACCACACTAGTATCCAGTCGATACTACATGACTTAAAAGCAGATCTAGTGTTTCTTTAACATCTTAACGATAACCTCCAAGATTCTGAACAAAACACGACCAGCTTTTGAACAAAGGCTCAAAGTCCTTTTCTTAAAAAGATCTATTTGTTTGATTGGACTTAAAAGACAATTTCCCCATCAGGCAAGGACTAAGACAATCTACCGTCAGTTTGTTCTCATCAAGTCACTGAAGGCTATCTCGTTCTGATACCAGAGGACTGAAGATAAATGTCATGTGTTCCCTCTGATATGATTGTTTCTACAATTCTACTACAATTCACTTAGCAGACGCTTTTATCCAAAGCGACGTACATCAGAGTTAGTACAACACTAATCCATTCATACACCACCACTGAAGCAAATGCAGGGTTAAGTGTCTTGCCCAAGGACACAGCCGACCTCGACCTTCCGGTTAAGAGGCGACGACTCTACCAACTGAGCCACAGCCGCCTTAAGCCGATTGTTTAAGGTCATTTCATCCTGAAGCACATTAATTGTCAGAAAACAGCATCATCTTCTACAAATACAAACCTCAGGTGTGTCTGTATTTTACCTGGTATGCTCTTATTAGTGACTGCACAGCGAGATGATCCGCCACCAGTTTCTCCACGTTGGGCTGAGCCCCCACCAGAGCCTGGATACTGGTTAGTCCCTGAGAAGACCCACCGACGGGAGGAGGGCTCTGATAGGCCGAACCAGGAGGAGCTCCAGCGTTAGCGTTACGGAAAAATATATCCCAGGACTGCAGGAAGAAAAAAAAAGAGACGAGTTATTCAACATGTTTCAACAAATCAGATCATTTGTTTTATACTCTAATGTAAAGGCTACTTCAACATGTCTGCAGCTTATGTAATACAAGGTGAATCCAGGTCAAATGTTCTTTGATTTAAACAGGTCAGCATGCTCTATACACTGTCCTATCTCTCACAAAAGGCATAAAAAATCCCTGCGCTCAAAAAATCAATACAGCAAAATATTATCATGTGCTCCTTCCAAATACATTGGAAAAGTATTGATGCAGATGTTACAGAATCAATATGGCTGCAAAGCTGAGGTGACAGTTTTTAAAGGCCAATTGACCTACAGTGCATTCCACAATAACACCACAGCCACAGCTCTGGGACTGAACTATTTCAATGAATCTAGGATCTCTGAGGACCTGAATTGAAATGTTTTAAGTTGTAGCCTCTGCTGTTATTCTCAACAATAAAGACAGCTGTTGTAGTGAATTCTGTCCCGGACACGGTCATGATCCAAAATCAATGTATATTACGATATGTATTGTGGCCTCTATATCGTAGGGTTGTTGGAAATACCCAGCCCTAGTGCCTTGGACTTCTTTTTTTTTGTGGTATTGAAACAAATATCAATATTTGGTTGATAATGGTGGAGTATCAAAGTTTAAAATTCTGGTATTGTGACAACCCTCACCTGCTGAACTGAAAAAAGAATTACAGGTAGAAAAAGTAGACCCAGTGGCTTCTTAGATACAGACTATGGCGTGAGGTTTAAGTTCATGGTCATCTATCCAGTAGTTGTTGAGTTATTTCTATCTGGATGAAAACGATGGACCGACCGACAATGAAGTGCTGCCAGCACTAGAACCGTGTCACTCGTGGCTAAATAAAACTCTGGTTCACTTGTGTTTGACCTCGTTTCTCACTTTCTAACTCGAGAGGAAAGTAATTGGCTTACTCCTGAGAGAGGATTCAGAGATTAAAGGTAAAAGGGAAGCTTCCTCTGTGGTGGATATCAGCTTAAACGTGCAGCGTGACAACAGTTTTACTACAAACATGCAACACTTAAAGATATCAACAGTTGGCAGCATGATAACACACAAACCGATAACGACTGAACAGTGAAAACAAGCCGCCCTGATAGAAGCAACACAGAAGATAAACAGTGTTTAAAACACACACCTGAGTCATTCTGGCATTAAAAACAGAAACAAAATCTGCTACCTCTCACACTCTGAGTGAACGTTTTTACGACATCTTTAAAATGTGTGTTCCAGATTAATCCACTTGTTTGCAGATGTTTATCAAGTTAATGATTGTAAATCTGAGGTTGTTCTTAATGGACCAATAAAAGCAAAGTTTAATGTGCTACATAAGTTCTTCCGCCATTTGGAAGAGTTATGTATGAATGCTTGAAGGTTGCATATTCAGCGTTTCTCTGACTATAGGACACACTTTTAATACCTCCCAGAAGTTGGCTGCGTCCTACATACCAGTAGAAAATGCTGACAAACACGGCGTCATTACCGAGAGTACAGCCACCATCATCACATGTTTTGTGGAGTGCTGGACTGATTGAGGGTGGTTGTATTAGAATAACTAATAACCGTAAAATCGGGTGTATAAGACGCACTTTCTTACCTATGTTGTCATCAAGAAAGTTGGCAGTTTTACACTGGTATTTTACCAAAATACTAACACAGTAGAAATGTTCACAAAGGAAGACAGTTAAAACCTTTTTTCTCGAAGAAACCCCCCTGAATGGACAGCGTCTTATAGACTGGTGCGACTTTTATTCTGAATTTTACAGTAAATTTCTTTTTTTGGGGGGTCGATCCCGAAAAACTCCCTCGATTCAATCCTTGATAAAAAGATCTGTAATCTAATTGCACCCTGAGATTTGGGATCTGTGACGCCACTAATGTCTTCTTTTTTAAACTCCCATATCTAGACTTTCTTTCCAACGTTTTATTGTTTTATTGTTTGCTATGAGTCATGTTTAATGATATGTATCCACTGTTGTTTATTTGCTTTCTTACTGTATGTAAAGTGTGCTGTGTCTTGTTTTTTAAAGCGCTTTATAAATAAAGGTATGATTATTTGCAGGGAAGCCATTCACAGTGGATTCCTCCTGCTGAACCATCCGTCACTCTTCAGTCTGCTACTGTGCTGCTCCACTATTCAAACATGCAAAGACAAACACACACACATATATTATACAAACAGGGTCTGTTTCTACCTTTACCCTACAGGTGTCTGTTCAAATCTGAGTCCTCGTGTTCATCTTTTCCTGCCCTTCAGGAAGAAGGTGAGAGTGCACTTAGAGTAAAAGGAACACAAACGGTACGAGGAGAATCGGACTGGGCATCTAACTAAAAACTAAGGAACTTTAGACAGATATCTCAAGAACTGTTAATCCAATCAACGGTTCATTTGGTGGGTGAATTACGTTGGACAGACGGAACTGAAAAGTAGATGCTGAGCTTAGATACCACACTTCTAAACAACTTTGCCAACAGTGTTTTCAGTTCATGCATTCTTCCAAGGGGTTCATGTTTAAAACGACTGCACACTCTAAACAGACAAGCCAAATAAAAAAAAAAAAACCTAATCTTGCCACCCGAGATCCCCCCCCACCCACCTCTCCCGTCCAACAGGGATAGTCTCCTGCTGTGAGGTTTGAACAACCCACTCAGGAGGATTTCAGGGAAAGACTACTTGAAATCTTCCAGAAATTTTCAGGAGTGCCGAGTGCAGATGGGAAACTAATTTAGCCAAAGAAGTCTGGAGGCTGTAAAGAGAGCAACGATACAAAACTGTTTCTGGTTAAAAAAAAAAAGCCTCATACCTTTATTTTTAAAAAGTCTGTCTTTCTGCATTTTTGCCTGACACTCTAACAATATGAGCGTGCCAGTGGCAAAAACAAGCTCATCTAGTTGATGCACTTGTACATACACACAGCTGTTGGCTCAAGAAAACTACTGAAGCAATTTCCAAAAATGTTTTACCTTTTAGTTATTTAGACCCGTAAGTATGTTGAAAATAACTGAATTTCCCTTCAGTGTCGAAATGTGTAGCAGCACCAAACCTGTTCTGTCTCTGTCCCTGTATCCTCTGTTCCTGCACCTGAAGGCACGTTCCAGTTTCCAAGAATATATAACTCAGGTGTCAAAAACAACCAGAAAAGCATTGTACCTTGTGCACATTCTTGGGATTCTCCAGCCATGCATAGTACATCTCCTCCACATAGTTAGAGCTGGTTCCATTAAGAAAGGGCTCAGAGGCCACCGATGTCTTGAGGTGCCTCACAGGCTGAAACGTCCTTAAGCCTCTTTTGGTCACCAACAGTCTGTGCTGTGACCAGCTCTGTGCTGTCTGTGCAGCGGTTAAAGGCCGAAGCCTTGACACTGTAGTCCTTAAGCGGTGCATGGCTGCAGGTCAGCCACAGTTCCTCCTTCCTCTTCCTTCCTGGAAGAAGAACGCAGTTTCCCAGACGAGCAGATTCCTCAGGCTTCTCAGCAACACTTCCTCTTTCTGTCCAACTGAACCGGTGAGGCTGGCTTCTTCACGGCTCCTGCTCCCCCCGTTCTGGTGACTTACCAACAGCTCACTGGATCCTGTTGAGTGAAGGTAAATAATAACATCACTGTCAGAAACACAGCTTCGGCATGTGTCTTCAGTTTTCCTTCTCCAAATAAATGCAAAAGTCAAAATAAATTATCAGGTATATGTGAACCCCCTTTTAGAGACCGGAGTTCAGCATTTTCACTGTTTCCCTCATGTTTTCTTTTTTTTTGTAGCGGGAAATTATCGGAGTTTTTCGGAGGTTAAATAATGTCCAAGGAACTTAATATGGACCCGGGTCTCTGTAAGGTGCACCAGAAAGGTTCCTATGGGGAGAGTCTGGCAGAATGCGGCTTTAATTCTCAAATTTTCCAAACAAGGAAAAAATCATGTTACAGGACATGAGTATATATTAAATATAGCAACGATCACAACTTGAGCCCCTTAAAGAAACCTAAAACACATTAACAGTGTAAACACACTTAGTCTAAAGTTGTCACCTACATGTATAACTTAAAGCATTATTCCTTTAATTACCTTAACTTTTACTACCAATACTCAAACCCTAACACAATAACTCATATTTAGACTTTAACCGAGTATGAACCGTGAAATGTCATGAATATCGTTAAAGTTTGTCCCCGCAGTGTAATGTTTGGGACAGAAATGTCCTCACAACATCAGGAAAACACTCAAAACACACAAAACACACAAAACACATAAAACACCAACCGTCCAGCGCTCGAAACGTTTTTTTATAAACACGATAAACAAACAGAAATAACGTTTATTTGTCTTAGGAAATGAGCGTAAACTTTTGCTTAAATGTGTCTTTCCGGTTCGTTACCTTTCCCGCAGCCTTGTCGACGCTCTTCTGAAGCCTGCAGTGGAGTCAACGATCAGCTTGCAGCTGCGGGAGTTTCGCGCTCCGGCACTGTCTAATCACTTAGGTGCTGATCTGACGTTGGTGCTGCGTCATGACGTTGGTGACGTTAGATCCATGCATCAGATCAACAACAGCGGGGTTGCGTCAGAAAATATTGAAAGTAATAAAAAACTAACAAAAAAAGAACCGGCAATTCTTGAACGATAATTTAGTTTCGCGATCCTAAAAAGTTTGAAAAATGTATATTAAAAATTAATAAAGAATATAATGTAGTGAAAGCATGATAGAAAAAACGTTTATAATTGAATATATGTTTGTTTGAACAATCATTAATTATTGCTAATAAAATCGGTTCTACAAACAAAATGTGAATTATTTTATATATATATTTTACTTTTACTTTTTTTGTACTCTACAACTTATTTATTTTTAATTTTACTTTTTTGTACTTTTCTACTCTTTTTTTCTTATAATGCTATTCTATTTTATATATAATTTTAACTTTTTTTGTAGAAGCTGACTCAGGAAGAAATGCACAAGAATTCCAATGTACCTGTACTGTCCTGTACCTGTGCAAATGGCAATAAGCATCTATTCTATTCTATTCTATATTAAAATATTAAATTAACTTTGGAACTTGATCAGACAGTTTAACAGGGCCTCGCCCACAGACACTGAACTTCACTAAATTAATATTTATCCTCTGCACTTGCCACTCCGCAACTAAGCAGGTGCCTGCCTTGCCTGTTGACAAGAAGCACCTCTTTATCTGCTATGTATGAACTCACCTTGAGACTCTATGTCATGCTGTTTCAAAATCAAGACACAGTTCAGTGCAGAAAAAGGGTTTTTATGATTGTTCAGACTTAAGAAATCTACTATAAAGGTAATTATTCAGCCCCCTGACCTCCTGAACTCTGGACAACACAGTTTTAGTGTTACCTCTTTTTGGTGTCTTTAACAACAGGTACATTTATATGTTCTGCTGCAGAGCTTGATGTACTTTATTCAAAGTACAACAGAGCAATAAATGTCAACCTTTGTCCTCACAGTGTATGTTATGTAAAGAGAAGCTTAATGACCTTCATACACTTACAAAGTGAACAGCAGAGAGACCACGCTAAACGATTTTCTATTCAGATCCTTTAGTACTCCTTCCACTACTTCAGTAAAATTACAAAAAAAACAATGTGAAAAACTTTATTACGGCGTTCAGATTATACATGATAAGAAGTGAAGAGTTTTATAACTCAAATAAAGCCAGAGTGTAAAAAGTAAATAACTGGTTCTGTGGTAAAACTTTGAGTTAATGTGAATGGATATGCCTGATGTTTAAAAAGTGGAAAGTTATCAAACTCTAATGGTGAGCCTGATGACTGATGATGAGTTTTATTCTGGTTGAAATTATGGTTTAATGGACTTGTATTTACATTCTCAGTTTCCTGTTGTTACCTGATGAACTCAGGATTTAAGTTTGAAATATTCAAGGTGCTTTTTGTTTCTATATGTTTCTTGATTTGAACCGGGCTGCAAAACAAAAATAAGTCCTTGGCCTGTTTATTGTACAAGTTGTTAACGTACTGTATCATTTTATTAGCCTTTATTGACTTATTATGCAGTACTCCGGCTTCCTCCCACAGTCCAAAGACACGTTCGTTAGGTTAACTGCTGACTCTAAATTGTCCGTAGGTGTGAATGTGAGTGTGGCTGGTTGTCTGTCTCTATATGTCAGCTCTGTGATTGACTGGTGAACAGTTCAGGGTGTAACCCTGGATGGTATTATAACTTTATTACCAGTACCTATTTACCAGTGCAGAATCAAAACCAACATATATATAGATGGTCCAATACTATCTGCCGATTTGTGCCTACTACAGATAAATCTGTATCGGTGTAAATGTTTTTAAAATATGTCAATAAACATGTATTTTATACAGAACATTTACTTCAGAAAAATAATGCTTCAGGTGATTCGACATGGTGTCATAGCATAGTTTGTCCAGCAGAGTGTGCTCTAATAGTTTACAATCCTCACAGCACTTACCCTAACCCATCAGCGCGTAACAGACAGTGATCCACACTTAAATTAAATGACAAAATATATAATGTTCCTTATGCTATGATAAAGTTAGTATTTCAACATAGCCCAAAACCAGTGTATCATCTGCGTAAAAACAGACATTTTTTATTTATACTTGTACATTTTAAACACAACATTTAATTCAGAAGATAATGCTTGGGTGATTCAGGCAAGGTGTCATATCATAGTTTGTCCAGCAGAGTGTGATCTTACTCCACAGTTTACTATCCTCACAGCACTGTCTGCAGCATATCGGAGCATCATAGGTTAACAGATAGTTGTCTAGTATATTAACATTATTTGTTCTACTAAAAAGTTAGTATTTCAACAAAGTGAGAAACCGGTGTATCATCTGCATAAAGACGGACATTTTTTCACTCCAGCTGTAAGAATTCACCATGTTGGCCCCCTGTCGTCGTACTTAGTCAGTCTCTGCTGTGAACTTTAGTGGTGTAGTGTAGCCTAAAGGCGTGTACTTGATTTGTAGGTTTATTAGTTGGTTAGTTATTAGTTAGTTTATATGTTTCCCGCCTGTGTCTTTGTGAGTTCATTAAGTCTTACCAGCCCCATGTTCCCTGATTCCCCCTGTCAGCCCATGAAATGGTTTGACTCTGCCCAGACTAGATTAAAGTAAATGTCAGATAAAATCACTGCACACAAACAAACAAACAAACAAACAAGTGAGTGGAGATAAGAGAGAGAGAGAGATGACTAAGGTGCTCTCTGCATTGTCATTTTATTGGTTCACACACTGATTACATCTGATCACATTTGAATATTGATAAGACTTGAAATGCACACCAGAGAGAGGAATCATCTTCATCGTTATCAGTATAATAAACGTAGAAAAAGAAATCTCTGTTTTACACACGGCAGCATTCTCATGAGTCGTCTCCTGATCATTCAACTGAGAAAATAATTACTGAGGCTCTTCTGTCTTCTCTGTGTCACAGCCAAGTCATTATTAGTGGAATAAAGATCGTTTGCCACAGAGGACAATGACACTGAGTGACCAATAATCCTGTTAAAGAATTAACACTTTTAGGAAACCGGTGAAAATGAAAACACCACACAGATCCTGCAGTGTCTGTCTGATTAATATTCATGCACCCAAGTTTGTTAATGGGACTAAAATGCAGGCTTTATTATGAATATCATCTTGCAAATATGTATATGTTCGCAGTAGATTTTGCATTAGTTGTTTGTTTTGGTCCGGCTCCATTTGTAGCTTTGTAATGCTACTCATTCATCTTTATCAATACGCTTCATAATCAAAACTGCTGATGTTGCAACTTTTTTGGACAACAATCCATGATAAATAAACTTCAATTTTCAGGACTAAAATTGTGTGGATTGTGAGATCTTGACACCAAAAAAAATTAGGAGTTGTAACATTTTGTGAGCCGAAACAGTCAAGTTAAAAAAAGGTTAAAAGTGTTTGAAAATGAAGTTATTGAAGGCCTGGGATGACTCTCTGTGTTAGTCAGTCTTTATCTCGCTCACAGTCGCTCTGCTTATCAGTGTTTGAGGTCCCACTCTCACCAACGCCCAGCTTAGCACAGACTCAAAAGTCAAGCCCTTTGAACCCTTTAATGACTCACAGGTTACTCTTTGTGTTGTTTGGATTTGGCGCCCTCTTATGGAGAGGATGAGTACACCATGAGAGCTTCAAAGTAACACCAGTCAGGGTTGTGCCTGTCCTAAAAAAGAGGCTATTTTATCTAAAATGTGCTAGTTATTAAGGTCTATTTTAATTCATTTCTGTTGGTCAATAAAGATTGTTTATTTGTAGAGTGTATTGACATTAATAATTAAATTTCAAGACAATGAGCAACATTTTCTTGCCCCTTGCTTTTGTTTGACTTACTACCGACAATTTAGGCCGCATAGTTTGTGATGTATATCTGTAAAGAAGATTTTTACCTGGACTTGTCAAGAGAAGTGTAATTACATATTTTAGAAGTTGAACGAACCCACGTACTTGGATGTGAGTTTTTGTAGTGCATAAACCAGCTGGTGATGTTAAGAAAGCTTCTTTGACTTCTCACACAGTTCTTGGTTTTGACTCAACAGAGACCTCTGTGTTTGGGGCAACACTTAGGATATATATTTATTTCTTTATTTCAAATAATTAGGGATTATTCTGTGTCTTTAAATTTGTTGTTGATAAAGTTGTTCTGACACTTTTTGGCTTTATGTCCCTGGTACCAATGCATTGTTTTTCTTTCTAAATGAAGAACCTTTTAAGATAAATATATTCTCTATGTTCACTTCAATGTGTTTCTAATAAAAAAGCAGAATAAGTATCTTGGCTTTTGTCTCCCACAGAGTAAAACAGAGATTTAAAAACTGATCTGGATCCAGCAACTTCTTCACATAAAGGCATTTTCAGTCGTATAGCCGTCATCCTCACCCGAATCCTCGTATACTACACTATCATATCAACACAAAAAGTTAAAGTTTATGCACGTACAAAGCCCAGAGGCAACAGATCATAGCTCACCGACAGTTCAGTCCAAAAAAGAGAAAAATCAACAAAATGCACGATAACACCCAACTTAACAATGTTATTAACTCGGAATATCATGCAATTAAATACCATCTACAGCATAACTGTAGTCAAGTCACCACGATGAAACTGGAAAATGTACATAAACAGTGTGATACTATAGTTTCAACCATTGTCATAATCGCAGTAGTTAACTTGCAAAGTTCAGTACATAGAGAGTCAGTCAAGAACGACAGATATATCTTAGCATGCTGCAAGGTTTTCACTGTCTCACAGAGCGGCTCAGAGGGGTCAGAGGCGTCGGGTCAAATACACTCCAGAGGAATAAAGGAGGAGATAGATGAATAAAAAAAAAAAAATCAAAAGCTCCATTGATTAACGAACAAAACGGATAATTAAACACACCCACTGGTCTCTCCTCTGTGAGACACGCAGTGCAGTTTGTTCATTTCACACAGGCAGCCTTTTAGTCGTGCAGAAAAAACAGCCACGGGTTATAAGAGACATGCTCGTTATAAAAAAAAAGAAAGAAGGAGATATCAGGATGACTAATAAATATACTGTACAGTGTAAAGAGCACAACAACAGACCGCAGCCATAATAATACTAGATCAAGGAACAATAATCTGAGAAGTAAACGGGTAAATCTTCAGCAGGAGAGCGCCGCGCTGCAGAACAAACGGGGTCAAAGGGCAAAGGGGATGTCCGGGTATGTTGGGTGTCGGTAAACACCGGCTAAAGAGTTTCCTTTTTTTGTGGCTGATATGCCATCTGCTGTAGCGTAGGTTTTGGCGATGGGAGTGTCTGTCTGTGTTTGAGGTCGCAAAGACGAAAAGAAGAAGAAGAAGAAGAAGAAGAAGAGAGAGAGAGAGAAGAGCGAGGTGTGTGTGCAGGGCTCAGGAGGACGATCGTGATCCTTTAAATCAGACTCTTCAGACTCCTTTAAGCCACCCTCCATCCACCTGCACCTCTCTCTCGGTGTAGACACGCTCTCTTGGATTATCCACTTATTCCCTTTCGGCTCCTCGCTGCCTCCTCAGGAGTCTCTGGAAAGAAAGGAGACAAACAGTTTAGTTTTATGTGCAATAAGCTGCAACAGGAAGGTCAGTAATGACTCGCTCGCAGGAAGCTAATGTTTGTTCTGCTAGCCTCAGAGCATCAGAAGAAAGTAATGAGGACCTACATGAGGTACCACAGCACCATCAGTGAGGAGAAACAGCGTATGCTGTAATGCTGCGTTCAATTGTACTTGGAATTCTGGGAAAAAAACGACCTTCGACTCGGAAAAGTGCAACGGAACGGCCATTCACCTGTTACTGTGTGTGCCGCCATATTACTGTGCCACTGTGGTATTGAACCATGTAGGAATATTGTTTGGTTGTTACTTGTATCATATCAAAGTTAAAAGGAGCAGTATGTAACTCTGACCCCTAGTGTTTAAAATGGGTACTGCAGTCCAAATTCTAAACATCATAGAGAGCTGTCTCCCCCTTCCCCCCCCCTCCTCCTCTCTAGAGTGGATGCTCACTCAGGTCACCATGTGGTGGACTCTGAAGCTTCAGTGTTTATCCAGCTCTGCATGGGTCTGTAAACCTTTCTGTGTTCTAACCTCTCTCCATTTTTCAAAAGCATCTCCAATATTGATCCTAGTTTGAGCACGTTTCTGCTCGTGGAGCTTATTAGAAACATGCAGAGGCTTTTTAGGTCGGGTACAATCACTTCTATCTGAACCACTTCTCTTGCCCGCTTCCATCGCTGCAACACCTGTTGACCTGATAACTGCTCTCATATCTGGCAAACCGAGGGGCGTCCAAAACGGCCGTGTGGGGGGGTCGTCTTAAAACCGCCTACCTTCTCTGGTCCAAACAGACAAACTCTGTAGTGGATGTTTGTTTGTGTACCTCATCCCTGCATCGGGGCAGCGGGAGCTCCTGAGCAGTGGAAGTGGACGTTTTGCCACCGGGTGTCCCTGCGGTGCCATACTCTGGTCTCTTCTGATTGGCTGGAGCGGGGACGACCCTGCCCGTCCACATACTGTGTCAGGCGGATGTAAGCGATGCAGGCGGCGTCGTCCCCGATCATGTGCACGTGGGGGTTGAGAATGGTGGTGTGGATAGGTTTGCTGTTCTTGGAGAGGACTGACGGGAGAGAGGGATCTTTAGAGCAAAACGTTAAAAAAAATTGTCAACAACAAAGCAAGTTGATTAAAAAACAACAATAACTGATGTGAAAGTTGTCTTACGATTGTCAAAGTAAAATCTGTGGAAGTCCATTCCCTCCACAAGGTTACCCAGACCCTCAGGTTCGAACGAGGTGAGACCAGGGTCGCAGATCTTCCTGTGAGAACAAACAAGACAAGTTCGACACCATCTTTATACAACATGGACGTAGTCTCGGTGACATCACACATTGACTTCTTAAGAGACATTATGAAGTAGAACAATGGCGGTCGCTATATTGGAAATGCCAACATCAGGGGCAGATCCGCAGCCCCCCCTGGATCCGCCCCTGGTAGTTTTCTAATTTCCACGATGGCTACAGGGGGCGCTGCATCAGTAACAAATACAAACATAGTGGTTATGTCCCCCCCATGTACGGAGGCTATAGTGCTCGTCGCAGAGGTCGTGGGTTTGAATCCAACCTCGGCCCTTTGCTGCATATCCTCCCTCGCTCTCTCCTCCCAACACTTCCTGTCTCTCTTCAGCTGTCCCGTCCGATATGGGCAATAACGGCGCAAAAAATATTGGGCAAACTGACACCGGTTTGTTTTAACTGAACCAAACAGTTTCTTCTTTAAAGGGATACTTCACCAGTTGAAACATGAATCTGTGTTGACATTGGGTCATATATGTAGAAATGTGAAATACATTTTGAAGTTGATGCCTTCTTGGCCGAGAAAAGGCAGAAAGTGTCTTTTTGACTCATGTGGATAAAAGACACCAAATCCCAGAATGCACAGCACCGCAGGCCACTCCCACTAAGGTCCTCTAGTTCAGAATCAGAAATACTTTATTAATCCCAGAGGGAAATTCGATCGATACAGTTTCTCCAAAATATAAAATATAGCAGGAGAAATATACAAATAAAAACATTTACAGACATATTTATTTCAACACATAAGACCGTTTCCTCAACTGATTCAGAGATTTCTTCCAGAATTGATCTTGGAAATTCCTGTCAGAAAACAGACTCTATGTCTGTGTCCATAGACAAACAGTGAGAGCACCGACACTACCAGTCCACCCCAGCTCGAGCCGGCCCCGGCTCCTCGTCCTCACCGGCGGGCTTGCGGGGCCGGGCTGATGCAAAGCTTAATGCAAATGGGTGAAGTATCCCTTTAATCAAAGATTTAAATGACTTTACATATAACTTTGACTCCTGTTTTATGATCCTCATTGATCAGATCTTCAACTTTCACATGTAGCTCATGGTTTTGTTTCAGTATCATTTTAAAGATACTTTTGGGACTTTTTTTTGCCTTTTGCCAGCTGAATAGAGACAGGAAATGTTGGGAGGAGAGAGTGAGGGCCGAGGTCGGATTCAAACCCACGGTTGCCTCGACGAGGACTATAGCCTCCGTGTCATGATTTGGTCTCATTTAGTTTTGTATTTCAGCGTTTAGGTTTCCATGTTTTAATTTCTCCTGTCCATCCTAGTGTTGCTTGTTTCCCTTGTGTGTTTTTGTCCTAATGTTTTATAGTTTAATGTTTCCTGTTTTATTTTGTAGTTTCTTATCCTTGTGTTTCTTTCTTCTAGTGGTAATGTTACATTCTTGAGTTCTGTGTGTCTTTAGTGTTTCATGATTATAATGGGGAGCACGACATCACCGCCCGGCCATCCGGCGCCCCAGATTCAGAATAATTTTGACTGTCCGAGATCACCTGTTCTACTTTCTGTTCCACATTTTCTCCATCATGCATGACCTTTCTGCGCTGCTATTTTTACTGTCGGAAATGGGCCTCACACTTTTACCCTCCCCCTCCTCACTCAGTGTGAAAGCATTATTCTTAATTGTGTGTGTGTGTGTGTGTGTGTGTATGTGTGTGTGTGTGTGTGTATGTGTGTGTGAGTGAGAGTAAGAGAGTGAGAGGATAAAACAATGACTGGAATTACTCTGTAATCTCTTGATGCAAAGTCGAAACAAACATTTGAATGTCAATCATATTAATGCTTTCTCTGCAGCTGATGGCGAGCTCTTTAGATTCCCTTTGACAGGACCTTAAAAAAAAAAAAAAAAACGCCCCGGAGAAGGTGGAGATGTTTATGGGAGAATAAGTAAGGAAGGTGTTGACTCACGCGTAGGCCTCAAAGTCTCCATTGTTGACAGCTTCGATCAGCTGCTCCGTGATCTTTATGATCTCCTGTTTGCGAGCTGTGGAGAAGAAAAAACGAGAAATTCAAACCTCAACAAGACGCCGCGGTCGTCTGATTCTCTCCTGCACATAAAAAAAAACTAAGCAACCAAAAGTCACTCAAAGACTTCAGTTCTCTCACCTCTGAGCTTGTCACTCATTTTGAGACTTATCGGTCATCGCTCTTTCACCTGTGAGGGAAATCTCCTCCAGGCTACAGCACGCCAAAAAACTACCTCCATGCATGAAGTTGTCTTGTTCCCTCTCTCTGCTCGCTCGCCCAGCTTTCCACCTTTTAACAAACTTAAAGCTCCACTTCCTGCTGCGTGTAGCTGCTGCTTCACCCTCTACCTCCATCCATCGTCCGTCATATCTCCTGGTTTGCATGCGAGGTTGCTTGGGCTCATCGTGCTATTCTGGTCGCAGTCCTTTAGATCAGATTTACTGTGTCCTTCTCCACTCGCTTCCTCCCTGCACCGAGAGGAAGGCTTAGCTCGCTCTGATTCACCCTCTCTCTCTCTCTCTGTAGTGTTAGAGGAAGCATTTAGATCCTCTACTTGTGTAAAAGCACTTAAACTACACTGTAAAAATACTCTGTTACAGTTTAACTCCCTTCATTTGAAATGTTTATTTGTTTTGAGCTTTTAATGCCAGGACAGTGGATAGAGTCAGACATGGGGAATGACATGTGGGGAAGGAGCCACAGGTCGGATTCCAACCCGGGACGCCCGCTTGGAGGACCTCAGCCTCCACATATGGGGCGCGCACAGGCCTGCCTGCAGAAATGGCTCAGCCCCTGAAAGGCCCAGCGAATGGGACCTCCCAGAATAAGATTTGAAATCAACATACTGTATGCACATTCGATTAGTACTGTTAGCATTAGCCTCCTGGCTAACATTAGCCTTTGGAGCCAACTGAAATAAATTTGTTGACAAATTCTTGTTGGGGTTAAATGCCCGAGCCAGCTCCCTCTTTTTCTACTTCTTTCTTTTCTGGCATCCTGACCTTGTGCAGGTCCTACATAACTATCATAACAGTTCAGTTCACTGGGCTCGCTAGCGTCTGTAACATTCATGTCATTTTAAGAAGAGGGGGTGTACATTTTGAAACAGGCTACATTTTACTGAAGCAACAATACATAAAATGTGTGTTTTTGTTGCTTTAAGAGCTCAGTGTAAATAAAATGTTGGTCATTGTTGCTAAAAATTAGGATGGACCTTTTTTTTTTGCTAACCTCCATGGACCCCCTTCTCCTGTAACTGGGCCCCAGTAAGCTCTCCCATTAATCCCCCCTTATGGGCGGACTTGGGCGCGTGCACTAACCACTAGGATACGGCACCCCAAACGTGTTGCATTTATATGTTTCTTCTGTTTCTTCCTCTAAACTCTTTTTTCACCTGAAGCCTCCAGACCGATCTCGTGACTGAAAGCTCGAAACGAAAGGAAACGAAAGGAAACAAATAAAACGACCGGGTGAAGAGCTTGTTCATTAAAGTAAAACTACAGACTCATAGAACTCATACAGGAAACGTCAGAGTTAAAAAGTTAAACTCTAAAAAGAAAGGTGAGTGTGATGGTCGTGTTCAGAAAGTGAAAACAGTGACATGGTGTCCTCCATTGTTCTGTTAGAACTTTGTCAAGTCTGAAAAAAAAAAACAACCATGATGATGTCACAGTGATGTCATCCAGTACAAACATGGGGAACGAACTTTGACAGGAAGTGGGCGTTTACCGGTCAGGCTGTCAGACTGCATTATGGTTAATGGAGGACTTAGTGCTCGTTAATGAACTCGCAGCCGTGTCGGTGGTTAAAGTCGAGTTCCTTTAAATCTGAGGCTCGACTTTTTACACATTCTGGGGATTTTACAGCTGTGAATCAGGATGTGATGGCTGCAACAGGTTTTAACCATTTAACCATTTATTATACTTTATTCTCTCTCTCGCTGTGTTTTTGCAGATCTTGTGCAATATCTGTTGTGTTGTTTGAAATAATGTGTGCCTCTTTGTTTATGATTGGATGTGTTTTTATTTATTGATTCTAAAGGAAGGAGCTGAAAGTGTATCGCATCGCATCGTAGAACAGGATTTTAAAATACTGGAGTCCCCCTTTAAAGTCTTTCTATGTGATGTTTCACACTTAAATGTAGAAATCAAGTCTCTCCTCTGAAAATAACTCTGTGAGTCATGACTGTCTACAATGGGTGTAACACCCGAGTCCCACTGTCTGTGATGCTTTCAGAGTTTTCAGAGTCCTATCTTCACTTTGTTTACATCGCCGGGACGGCCGGCTGACTCCTCCCCTCGTGTATAAAAGTTGTTTAATTGAGGGACTAGAGAAAAGAAGAATAACATACTGTACTCACTGCTTAACTGTGTTTCTAGATCACGCTCATTTCAGGTAAATTTACATGCAGTGTGAAGATACCAGCATAATAAAGATCACTAGCATTAGCATGCTAACACAACAATGCAGCGCAAGTTGTTTTGGTTTCATGCTGGTGCTCAAGGGCGACATCTGCTGGATCAAAAAATCACATATAAAGACTTTTAGCATTTTTATGTGTGTTGTTTTATTATTTGATTGTTTTACCTTCTGTATGTCACATATCTGTACACACAAGTTAAAGATGTGTTTCTGCCTACCTTTAACATCTTCATCCTCGATAGTAGTGTTGCTGCTGTCGGACGATCCCTGCAAAATGCACAGATGAAAAACATTGACTAACAAAAAAATTAAAACCTGCATGCACACACGCACTGAAACGACACAAATATGCATGCACACTTCAGATTCTACCGCTGAATCAACAACATGGCTCGATTTTTTGCACAACAGTCTTTGCAAAAGGAATACAGGACACACACACACACACACACACACACACACACACAGCTGCACGCTTGACTCTGCAGCACACGGACTGGCACAATCCCAAAATATGGATTGATCCGCCTCAGACACACACACAGTTAATCTGCCGACACACACACACACACACACACACACAGGGACTGCTTAGCCTGCAGCGAGAACCACTGAGCTCCATTAATGTGAACACAGAGGGGCGGTATAAGACCACAGAAAACACCTCACAGCTCCAGCAGCTCACACTCGCTCCATCCCTCTCATGCACTGGTACAAACGGACGCACACAGAGGTACGTGAACACACAAATCCTGCAAAGAAAACAGGTTTCTACCAAAGAGTTTATGGAAGAGAAAACATACTGAAGACGAGGATGAGAAGTGAAATAAAAGACAAAGAAAAAGAAAGAGATGGAGGGAGGGAGGGAGGGGGAAGGGGGGCGGACTGGAGGATGTACCTTGGTCCCATCTATTGGATTATGGATAACAGTAGTCTGAGGCTCCTGGAGAAAGAATGAAGAGAGAGAGGAAGAGAGAGAGAGAGAGAAGGGATGTTTTATGAGGATGAGACAAAAGAGGAAGATCAATAAAGAGGAGAATGTGGAGATACGTGTAAAGAGGGAGAAATGAGTGAAATATATCACTTTCTCTAACGGCAGTATAATCTTTTGAAAGAGTCAATGATGGATGATGGTTTTTAAAATTCTCAAATAAAAACAATCAGAGTTAATAATCAATTTGTACCAATGTAAAGATGCTAACCTCAGCTCTCTGTCTCACACATAGCACTCACTTTATGTCCCATTTCACAGACACAAATAAAAAATACTTTCCTCAATATCTGAGAGTTACATAACTGAATGTGCAAGCCTTAACAGAGCTGTATTTGAAGGGTTTTTTCAATATGATTTCACCTTTGCAGCATATTCGAAAATCTGAACGCGTCATAGGGAACAAACAGGTTTGGAAGCGCTCCAGTAGACTCCTTAAAGGTGACATATCCTCCTCCTCTTCTTCAGTTTAAATAAGTCTCAGAGCTCCTCAAAACATGTGAGTGAAGTTTCTTGTTCTAAATCCACTCTGATCCTGTATTTGATCATGTCTATAAACCCCTCTATTTCAGCCCTGCTCAGAACAGGCTGTTTCTGTGTCTGTACCTTTAAATATGTAAATGAGCTGTGTCTGACCACGCCCCCACTCAAAGAATGTCAGAACTTTTTTTGTACCTTTTAGTCATTCAGACCGCAAAGGTTGAAAATACTGAAATAACCCTGTAATGTGTTAAGAGTTTTAAGATCTTTCTCAAATAGTGGAAATATTCCTGTAACAGCAAACCTTCAGAGAATCAGACAAAATGCAAACATCATTGGTGCCAAACTACAGAGTTATTTCTCTTTCACTCATTTTAAACGTGTGCAGATGGACAGACAGACGGACACAGAGCTGCATACCAGCGCAGCAGAGGGGACGTTGCCTTTGGGACTGGTGACTATGCTGTTTCTCGTGCTGTTTGTCTGCGGCTGTGCGGGGAAACACAAAGTGCTACGTTAGTGCCTCGGCAACAACGGTGAGAGGCGTCTCCTGCTGGTTGTAAAGTGGGTTGTTAGAGCGTGAAAACAACACAATAAATCAAATTTTAAAAAAGAGCAGAAAGAAACGTTGTCCAACTTCCAAGCCTTTTAAAAGCCAGACGCACATTTTCAATTTCCTACAGTGTTGATTAGATAGAAAGGTTTTACACTATTCATCACGTCAGGTTTCAGAGCTCGGATATTTTCCGTCTGGGACTTTTCATTTTCATGCCCTCTCAGTGGCTCTTTCTTAACGTTTTTTGGCAGATGGCAAAATTAAACTGATGACAGCTGTGAACCTCTGCAACATCTGTCACATCTAACGAAACAAGCATCACGTCCATTTTCGACGGACTACATGTGCTCTTCCAGCACCCATCAGTATCTCTTAATGTATCCCTCCGGAGTTAACAGCATTCAGGCAGATGAGGAGGACGAGGAGGAGGAGGAGGAGGTCAAACAGTAGACACGCAGCACTTATGAGAGGCTATACACACACACTCATGTGACACTTTAAACAGCAGACAACATGCTAAATATACACACACCAGTGTTTTAAGGATTCCCGTGGACATAAGAGCTTTTCTATGACAGCACACACACACACACACACACACACACACACACACACACACACACACACACACACACACACACACACACACACACACACACACACACACACACACACACACACACACACACACACACACACACACACACACACACACACAAGAAATGCAACAGTAAAAGAAGCAGTGACGTCAAGCCGTTATATTTTCGTCTTTTTGTTGCTTATAAATTTACAAAATGTTGACAATGCATTAATACAATTAAGACAGTGCCCTCTCTCTTCTGCTTTAAAGGAGCAATATGTAACTCTGACACCTAGTGTTTAAAATGGGTACTGCAGTCCAAATTCAAAAATGCCATGTAGTGGACACTGAAGCTTCAGTGTTTAGCCAGCTCTGCATTAGTCTGTAAACCTTTCTGCCTTACTATCTGATTAGACATTAAGGAAACATGCTATGTTGAAGTGCTGGCTTCTCTGACAACACTGCAGCAGCCAGTATGTCCTCCTTCTAACTTTAGATTCTGCTCCTGAATGCTCTGGATTTGTTTGGACCAGAGAAGGTAGGCGCTTTTAAGACACGCCCACACGGCCGTTTTGGACGCCCCTCAGTTCACCAGATATGAGAGCAGTTATCAGGTCAACAGGTGTTGCAGCGATGGAAGCGGTCAAGAGAAGTGGTTCAGATAGAAGTGATTGTACCCGACCTAAAAAGCCTCTGCATGTTTCTAATAAGCTCCACGAGCAGAAACGTGCTCAAACTAGGATCAATATTGGAGATGCTTTTGAAAAATGGAGAGAGGTTAGAACACAGAAAGGTTTACAGACCCATGCAGAGCTGGATAAACACTGAAGCTTCAGAGTCCACCACATGGTGACCTGAGTGAGCATCCACTCTAGAGAGGAGAGGGGGGGAGACAGCTCTCTATGATGTTTAGAATTCAGACTGCAGTACTTATTTTAAACACTAGGGGTCAGAGTTACATACTGCTCCTTTAATAGACTGTTATCAGACAATACAATTCATCCATCTCTCTTGAAATCTCAAACTCTCCTCAAAGGTGATTACTAAATGCTTCTGCTTTGTTCGTCCTCGATATCATTAAATAAAAGAGCAGCTCCCTTTAAAACCTCTTAAAGGATTCATTTAGGCGTAAAAGCCTGTTTACAGTCATTACTTCTCTCTTGATGCTCGAGGCTGCAGCACCTGCTCCGCAATAAAAAAAGAGCAAATTCCCTGGAAACTGCTGGAAAGTGAGACGCGTGTGTCAGACAACAAGAGAGCGAGAGAGAGAGAGAGAGAGAGAGAGAGAGAGAGAGAGAGAGAGAGAGAGTAAGTGAATATGAAGGACCAGAGAAACAGCTCCGGGGTTGTGTGCATTAGCGTGACGTCAGGGTGCAGCAAAGGAGAAGCTGTGATTACGTAATGATGGTTTAATCATCTGGTGGGAAATAATCTGAGATTAGCAACAGGCCACCAGAGGAGAGGAAGAGGAAGAGGAGGAGGCGGTGAGGGGGGAGGTTATGTACATAGGATGAGAGGAAGAGGAGGAGAGGCTGAAGGGGGAGCAAGGAGATGCAGGTTAATGAAAAGAGAAAGAGGTCAGGGGAGTCTCAGAGGGTGAAGGAGGGATCTGATATTAAAACATGTTTTTTCCCAATTCCCCTAAAAATGTTCAGATTGTTTTATTCATGCAGAAGTTATTGTCTGTGAAGGTGATGAAGATCTTCTGCACATTTCATATCATTTTGCTTAAACAGCAGAAATATCTTGTGCAACTTATGCTGTCAGAACAATCTGTTCATTCTTCGGCTTAATACTAAAATTCAGAACATTTTAATTTATTGATTCAATAGGGACAATGCAATTTAACAAAGTTTCAATCCAAAGCATGACAAGATACCTGGAGCACAAAGAGTAATCATGTTGTGCCAAAATACATCTGGATTTTTCAAAGTAAGGCTGACAAACGATGATTTTTAAAAGTAATGATTTATCGCTGAATTTTAGCAGTTAATCAGATTTTTAATCAAATGTTTGAATTACTTTACTTAGCAATTCAAAACAGTTTTTGTTGTGCTTTTATTGTGAATTGTTGCATTGTCTTCTAGAAGGTAGGCGGTTTTAAGGGTTTTGGACGCCCCTCAGTTTGTCAGTATGAGAGCAGTTATCAGGTCAACAGGTGTTGCAGCGATGGAAGCGGTCAAGAGAAGTGGTTCAGATAGAAGTGATTGTACCCGACCTAAAAAGCCTCTGCATGTTTCTAATAAGCTCCACGAGCAGAAACGTGCTCAAACTAGGATCAATATTGGAGATGCTTTTGAAAAATGGAGAGAGGTTAGAACACAGAAAGGTTTACAGACCCATGCAGAGCTGGATAAACACTGAAGCTTCAGAGTCCACCACATGGTGACCTGAGTGAGCATCCACTCTAGAGAGGGGGGGGGGAGACAGCTCTCTATGATGTTTAGAATTTAGACTGCAGTACCCATTTTAAACACTAGGGGTCAGAGTTACATACTGCTCCTTTAAGTTTTTATTCACACAACATATCTCATGAAAAATCTGGTTTTCAGGGGAAAAAACAAATGACAACTTCCTGGTGAGTATTTTGAAAAGTTCTGCAAAGAGTGTTGCATTTTAGACAAGTTATTAACCATGCATGAAAACACAAAGCACACACACAACACCTGAACATACAAATGCATCACAGAGGAATGCATCTCATACTGCAACACCAATAAAGATCTTTACTGCAAAAGTGCAACAAACTAGAAGCTTTGTGGGAGTGAAGACGGAGAGGAGCACTGATCTCATCCTGTCCTGAAAAAGTCACTGCACACTCAGAGTCTCGCTCGTCTCGTCGGGAAATGAAGGCGATATGTTAATGAGCTCCGGTTTGGCACGGGGAAACCTCTGTGGTGAATAATGTCTGCAGGGGAGTGATGCAAAGTGTCGTCTGTGCCAAACTGAGAGGAGGGAAAGCAGCCTGCTCAGACTCCAGACCAGACACGGTTACCGTCAACCTTTCAGAATAAAAGCCTCAAATATGCTTAGAGTAATTTATCACTCTCTAGTAAAGATAACGTCTCACACTCTACTTGTTTTATTTCAGTTTGTGTTTACCCTTCATCCTGTTTGACCGTTGATACAACTTTACGATACTTTGAGACTTTGGTACGAAACAGATTCCCAAAAAGTAAAACCGCTGTCAAACTTAAACCAACTTTACCGCCATCAGAGTAAGAAAGATTGATGCATGCTGAGTGTTCAGTTAGAACTTTAAATCTTCAGGCTTAGACCACAGGCTTTTGTCTTGCTTCTTTGGTGCCCAATAGATTTGTAATGCGATCAATAGAATTGATTATTATGATGTCCTTTTCCTTATAAAACACAACTTAAGCGGAATATTTATAGTCTTTATTTGTTTTTCTTACTATCAAACATTCAGTTAAATGACCAGGCGACCTGTTCCCAGTTCTGTCAGAGCGTCCCAGAGGCTTCATATTCATCCTCAAGATGACGCTAAAGTCAGGGACATCCTCCCCTAACTTCTCTACCTACAACTTGCATGTGACGTTTAAGAGAATGGAGAGCAGACACTAAGTCTACCAAACAATCCAGACACAAAGTGACCTTGGTCGTCGTTGTCACGGCTAACCCAATCAGCGGTGACCGTCGTCAGGGGCAGAGCTAAACAGAGTTCCAGGGACCCATTTTTATCCTTTAAGTAAAGTTTGTGTATTCAGTTCAGAAAATATAGAATAGAATTGTTTCACTTCTCCAACTTTCAAATTTCACGACCAAATCAGCACCTTTAAGCTGAGAGTACTTTACTTGCTGTGTGCTTTTATTTTGAAATACAGTAAGGAGCTTCTGGTAGATGGAAGGTTAGGACGTGAAGTTAAGCACAGAAACAGGAAGTGGTTAGAGATCCCAAACTGAGGTCAAACAGCTCAAAGGAACGGTAACAAAGGTCAATGTGTGATGTCATAAGGTAGCCTGACGCCTGACAGTTCTGTGTTTCTTAACGATACTCCATGATGTCACGATTCTGCACTTCATTTCTCAGAGAGTAAGTACAACACAAGCCCGGATCTAGAGAGGAGATACTTTAGAAAATTGAATGAATGAATTTAATCAAGGCTAAAATTGCAGAAGCAAGTATCAATGTGTCTCTGAGTAACAACATGAAAAATCAACAGAAAAGTGCAGCAGATGTTCGACCGTTGCTGTCCCTTTAAGACCCAAAACAATATGTTCAAAATATCAAACGCCAACACTGCAGCACTTGACAAAGTCAGATCACCTCCAATATATTCATCTCCTTTCAGGGTGAAACCTTTACAGAATAATAAAAGAAGTTTGGTACAAAGAGGGCGTCCAAGGATATAATGAGGGGACAAAGAGAGAGAGAGAGAGAGAGAGAGAGAGAGAGAGAGAGAGAGAGCGGCTGGCTTACCTTGACATCAGCCTTCTTGTTGAGGAGACTCTTGGCTGCTGCAGAAAGGCAGAACGACACACCCTCAGATGGAAGAGTACACATCATACACCTTCAGATGACCACAGCTCTCTAAATCTGCACCGTGAAGCATGCATGAAGCAGTCGCTCAAAAAAAAAAACAAAAAAACAAAAAAACCACACACGGTCACCTGCTCGTCCAAAAGGTCAACAACATCTGGGAAAACTGAGCATGCAGACCACAAACAGAGAGACAGAGCTCGACTTTCCTACATGTCCTCTCCTTCTCCACCCTCAAGGGGAAGAAAAAAAAAACAGGTCCAGTGTTTATCCCTCCCTCTTTAAAAAAAAAAGAAAGAAAGAAGGACACCCTCCCTCCGTCCTGTAAAAAGACATTAAAAACCCCCAACGAATAAACACACTGACACAACCCACATTAAAAAAAATCTCCATCCAACTGGCACCTCCTAACCCTGATCCACTGCCCAAAGCATTAGATAAGCAGAGGACATCAGGGGGGGAAAAAAAGTCCAACTAATTCTCCATATAATCCAAAACACACACACACACACACACACACACACACACACACACACACACAGATGCACGCACATGCAGGCCCAGATAGAGCAGGGATTAGGAGTGAAAGCATGAGGGAGACGGAATATAGATGCAGGTATGTGATAATGGGTTTTGTTAATCTCAAGAGTGCGATGGATCAGTCGAGAAATCATTACATCGATGGGCAGGAAGTGTAAATAAAGCTTCCGTATAAGAGGATATAAACATGTAGAGGTCATTAAAGGGGGAACTCGACTGTTTTCAAACCTGATCTCTGGGCTCTGTTTTCAAAGGTCTTAATGACTGACAGGTGCTAAATGGTTTTCAATTACTCAATAAAGCTTTGTTCACAACTGTACAAAACTTCTGAATGTTTCTCTCTTCACTCTGAGCGTCATGTGATCACTCAAACACCTGAATGTTTCTCTCTTCACTCT